CCCATGGCGCAGTGGGGCCCACTGTGACCTGGCCCCCTAAAATCTTTATTGGGCCCCTCATATAGAGACTGCCACAGCTGTACACCCACAACTCACGGAAAGATCCTTAAGAAATAAACAACATAGCATATGAACACTACACCGTCTCCCTCTTATTCATAATGCAATGTTTTCAAACAGATCCTTCACAACCTGCAACATGATAAAGTCATTATTTATCATTATAAAATCTTAAATAGGTTGTCTAATGTGAACATTTAGGTTAAGGTTAGGTGCTAGTGTTTGAAGTGTCGTGCCTTGAGAACTGCTTATAAGATAACAAAAGCAAGAAAACAAGCTAGTATTTCTATGATATACTAGCTCGGTGAAGGACTGTATACATTACGGTGCTCTGTGGGGTGCCATACGGGAATAAACATTCTAGCACCTTCTACATTAAGATACTTATAAAAATTGCTGAATCTTAAGGAAGTTTTATTCAGGAGTGGCCATGGTGGACCACTACCCCAAAGAGTTTAGTTCCAACCCTAATCTAACACAGCTGATCCAAATAATCCTGACCTTCAGGAGCATGAAACACAATCATTAAGATGTAAACACAGTCATGCGGCATTATTTGATATAAATGCTGTACTATAGAGAAATTACTGACTCTACTCTTTTTCCAATTTCTTTACAGTGGGGGTGATAGGAACCAGATGTCACATTGTCAAATATAACTGTTTTATTTACTTATTTACTATCTAAAATAACCTGTGAACCAATACATGTCTTTTTGGTTTTTATATGTAATGATGATAATGGTTAATCCAGCAGTGGTTAATCCATGGTTAAGTTTTCTGGGTACTTTTTTGCCATACAACCCCTTTACTGTACGTATTCTTAAAGATAAAGTAATTGTAAAACAGTGTTTTAGGCATCAGTCAACATATAGGTTGTAAACATTTCATGTAAACACATTCTGAGAGGGAGCTTTTAGAGTCATTAAACACTAACTTAGACATCAGGTTCCTATAACCATCACTGTGAACAATGCTGAGTAGATACGTTTCTCTACAACGGAGCATTTCACTTCAAACCACTCTGAACCACTTAGTTTAACAAAATATATTCAAACTGTCCCCATTTAATGTATTTAAAACAAAGAAAAATGGAATTTGTTTTCAGCTAAATTCATTTTTATCAAAGATACCAAAACGTTTGAAGGGAAAAAAGTATCTAAAAGTATTTAAAAGTTTGCTTTTGATCCAGATGTGTAATCATTTCCAAAATTCATCTGTGCACTGTAAACCAAAAAGAGTCATGAATGCGGGGGCCTGGCAAGAGAACCAACAATTAACTTGTGTTGAAGCTTCTAACGTTCTTCAAGGACAGAGAAAGGACAGTGCGAATGGGGCTGTTCTGTAATGAAAAAGCACACAAAAAGATTTCGGCTGCTGCTGAAATCAAAGGAGCGCTTAAATATTTGGAGAGCACCACTGTTGTTTAATTAACTTTCAATGGACTTAATTAACCAGCTACAGGCCGATCTGACGCAGAAATTAATCCCTGCTGCTGGATTTATGAAGGTGTTCACAGGGGAAAGGCTTCTAGCTTTAAAAGTGTGCGTGTGCACGAAGAGGTTCAAATGGAATCAGCTTCGAGCTCTGTTTAAGAACAAAGTGCTTATGGATTGTTGAACCCCAGAGCACTTAAACACAAAAACAGACACGGTGCTCTCTCTGACTCTGATGACCCGAGTGTAGTAGCCATCAGTGTTGGGTAGATGGCTGTTAATTTGATTTTGTTTGACTGCTAGATGCACTCACATGCGCACTGTCACTCAGGTTTTACTAAATATATCAGCACACTCCGTATGAGGCCCCTCATATACAGAACGTTCTTTAAATTTCCAGTCACAATGGCCCATTAAGTAAGTCAATGGAAAACCCTGGGTCTGAAATGATATGTAGCTGTCAAGAAGCCCTCACAGAGAAAAGGACATGGACAGTAAAAAAAAAGGTATACTAAAATTGTTTGTGATGTGGATCAGCAGAAAATGCAACCAACTTCTATGACTAAACTTTGGAGATGTGGAAAATCACTGCATGGGCTCAGGAACACGTCTGAAAAACACTGTCTGTGAAAACACTTTGTCGCTGCATCCACAAATGCAAGTTAAAAGAAGCTGTTACATAGAAACTGTACATTAACAGGATCCAGAAATGCTGCCACCTTCTCTGGGCCCAAGCTCATTTAAAATGGACTGAGGGGAAGTGTTGAAGTGTCCTGCGGTCTGACGAATCAACATTTGAAATTCTTTTTGGAAATCATGGACGCTGTGTCCTCCGGGCTTAAGGCAACTCAGCTTGTTATCAGCGCACAGTTCAAAAGCCAGTATTCATGATGGTCAAAGGGTTCATCAGTGTACATGGTATTCAAGACATGCACATCTGTGAAGGCAGAATTAATGCTGAATGATATATACATGTCTTGGCAACATGCTGCCATCCAGATGATGTCTTTTTCAGGGAAGGCCTTGATTATTTCAGCAAGACAATATCAAACCACACCACATACAGCATTGCTCTGTGTTAAAATAGTCCGGTTGCTAAGCTGGCCTGGCTATAGTCCAGACGTGTCACCCATGTGGCACATTATGAAATGAAAAATACAACTAATCAATATATATATATATATATACCGATCAGGCATAACATTATGACTTGTTTCTACTCTCATTGTCCATTTTATCAGCTCCACTTACTATATAGGTGCACTTTGTAGTTCTACAATTACAGACTGTAGTCCATCTGTTTCTCTGCATACTCTGTTAGCCCCCTTTTACCCTGTTCTTCAGTGGTCAGGACCCCCATGGACCCTCACAGAGCAGGTACTATTTAACACTGGTAACACTGATGTGGTGGTGGTGTGTTAGTGTGTGTTGCGCTGGTCTGAGTGGATCAGACACAGCAGTGCTGCTGGAGTTTTTAAACACCTCAGTGTCGCTGCTGGACTGAGAATAGTTCACCAACCAAAAATATCCAGCCAACAGCGTCCTGTGGGCAGCGTCCTGTGACCACTGACGAAGGACTAGAGGATGACTAACACAAACTGTGCAGCGGCAGATGAGCTATCGTCTCTGACTTTACATCTACAAGGTGGACTGACATAGTAGGAATGTCTAATTGAGTGGACAGTGAGTGGACACAGTGTTTGCTGACACTTTTGTGTTTCTGTCTCCACTTACGCCATGTATGTTTTTGTTTTTTAATTATTAAATCTGTATTTTTTGGTACGTATGTCCCTAGGTGCCCACTCCTCCTTGCGCCATTTTTGGTGAAGCTGCAGCCTTCTTGTCATTTACATATGTGCCTGCACATTTTCGTAGTGACAGTAAATTGAACTGAATTGAACTGAATACATATGTATGCAAGAATAATAAACTTGGCCAGCTATGATGTTTTCCTGTGTCTTCTGAAGATAATGCTAATCCTACATGATGTAACCAAATCCATCTGAAGCATGCGTTCATATGAGCAGAACACCTGTGCATTTGAATTTGTGGATATGAGCATCCATGCTTATGCTGATGTTTGTCTATAGGGACACAAGAGCTATTCTCAAACACAGCAAGGGATCCTCACATACATCAGCATGCCTCTTTGATATACGTCTGTGTCTGGAATTACTTGCTGTTGTTTGTGGATCTGTACAGTTATATGTGTATGATGTCTGCAGTGTGCAGATCCAGCAAGCTGCCTCTCACGCCCCAATTCCCCCAATGAGATTTGTTTGTGGCTAGGAGAGACTGCAGTGGGCACCAAGAGCATTCACTGCCCCTCTACGGAGTTAAAAAGCTCCCTCTGCTGGTGATTTTAATAATTCACCAAAAAGCTCCTTGAGTTTTGTACTCCACTTCAGAATTAACTTCCAAAGGAGTGTCAAACTCAGGCCCTCTGCCTGCAGAAGATCAGTTTGTTTCCAATATTAATATACATTCATATTAACACTGAATTCTACTCCTTAAGTTCTTGTTCACCAGCTGACACATATGTTTATTACGTGCGCACAGCTTGTATAATTTCTAAAAGCACTGACAATAAAATGGGATAGTGGAGCAGCGAAGCATGAACCTAAGTTAACCATGCTCATTGCCAAGTGTCAGCTAGAGGGGTATAAAGACCCCCAGCACTGGGCTGTGGAGCAGTGTAACTGTGTTCTCTGGAGTGAAGGAGCTCCATCCAGTACCTTCAGGATGAGTCGGCATGATCCAGAACTGACCATCCATCATCAGTACCTGACCTAATGCTCTTGTGGCTGAATGCAATCAAATCCTCGCAGCAATGTTCCAACATCTAGCGTAAAGCCTTCACAGAAGAGTAGAGCCTGTAACTACAGAAATAAGTGGACAACCACTCTAGATTTCAAAGAAACAAAGAATGTTCAAAGATTGTCTACAAACTTTTGGACATGCACATACTTACAAACATAAAATATATATATATATATATATATATATATATATATATATATATATATGTATATATATATATATATATATGTATATATATATATATATATATATATATATATATATAGGTATATATATATATATATATATATATTATAGATCAACAAAATTATTTTAATTAGTAGTGTTTGTGCAGATAATAATAATAATAATTATTATTATTATTATTATTATTATTATGAACTATAAAAAACAAAGCTATTCCCAGACATAAAAGCAATTCTCACACTGAATGAATAAACAAATTTTAAAAAGCGTAAATATTAATAAAACAAAATAAATAAATATTATGAGCAATTGTTACATAACAATAACGTGTATTATATGTTAATAAAGCAACATTCTGAGATTGCTAACATATTAAAAACAAGTATTCGTCTACAATATTAATCTTAGTAAATATATGTAAATATGATTCATAAAATATCAAATTAAAAGTTGCATTGTAGGGCTTTTACTTTGAAAGCGAGTGAAGCTCTGAGAGGAAGTGAACCAGTTTGAGCCAGTTTGCAGTGTGTCCAGCAGTGAGAGGTCCTCGCGGAGAGTCCAAAACAACAGCGGATAATTTAGAAATAGTGCAGGTGGACTTAACTTGATCGATAACGAAAGAATATATTTGAAACATGGACAGAATAAAAGACCCGTTTGGGATGGACCGTAACAGAAATCTGCAGTTTAAAAGGTAAGCTGTGCTTCTTGATCGGGCTGGTCAGGCCCTGTTTACCTAAAGCTTCCAGTTCGAATTTTCCCGTTCCACCTTAAATGGTGCAGCAGTTCGTAATATAACACCCGAGGCGGCAGGACGTAACTACTGCACCATTTAAGGTGGAACGGGAAAATTGGAACAGAAGCTGTCGAATAGGACGCCAACTTCTGCCTCGCGATAACGTTAGGTATGGAGGACTGGGCTCCGGCTGCCAGACTGAGATAACACAGTCACGCGGGCATAACTTGCCTTCAGGTTTCACGTGAAACCGTGAACAAATACTTCAGTGCACAAATCAACAATTAATGTTATACATCAGCCTATTTTAACTATTAATGCATGTTAGTTAACTGTTACTGCGTATGATTACTGCTCAGTAGTAGACTGCATGTAATGTTACGTTAAAGGGGAATGCCACCATTTTATCAGAATTTCTGAGTGGTTTAGACTTTAAGATGTAAACAGTAAGTCGGAGTGGTTTATTGTGAAATGTTTCGTTCTAGAAAAAACTTAGCGAGTCAGAATTCTTCGCAGTGGTGGGGATAGGAGCCAAACAAGTAACTTAACTAGAAGTTTGATGCCCCTCACAGCAAATAGTTGAGCTCCCTCACAGAAAGTAATTACACAAAATGGTTATGAAAACTCTGGCTGATGTCTGCCTGAGTGAGTGTTTTACTGTGGATTTGTGGTGAAGTTTGGCAAAGAACGTCTTGTTAATCCATTTATTTGACTCAAGTAGTCCCTGAAGAAAACGTATTTTTTCAGAATGACTGTTTTACCATCGTCAGTATTACATATTTAGAAGGCGTGTAGGTTCACTGGTGGTTTTGAATAGTAAATAAAATGGCTCTATTTGTGTTGTAGACATGGTGACTCACCACTGTAAAGAAATCTAAGTCTATAAGTTTCTCTACAGTAAACCGTTTTGCATCCAGTTCTGACTTTGACATCACATCGAAGAAATTATGCAGAATTTTGAAAAATCAGTGGAATTCTCCTAACTTTAGTCTTCTTTAGTTAGACAGGTAGCCGAAGGTTAATTTGTTTATTCTGTTATTATTACATTGAGTTTATAAAGTTAGCCTTGCCAAGTAGTTTATTTCATTTATTTATTTATTTTTACTTTTATTTTGGGCGGATTGCTGATTCTGATATTCAGGTCACCTAAAGTTACCTTAAGTTGTTCCCCTTCATCCAAGTTGAACTCCAGATGCATACAGAATGCTAAGCTGATTCCTGTCAAAATACATTTTTAGTTGCTTTTTCTTCAATGGACTTAATTAACCAGCTACAGGCCGATCTGACGCAGAAATTAATCCCTGCTGCTGGATTTATGAAGGTGTTCACAGGGGAAAGGCTTCTAGCTTTAGTAAAAAGTAAACACAATCCTCTACATTTTATGCGTTTATGCATTTAGTTTTTAGTGAGGCATTGTGAGATTTCTGGAGGTTCAATGTGATATGACTGTTTTTCTTATTTTTTTAGAAGTTGAAGATGATTATTGGGGACTTTGAGGACTGGCTTCTAACATCAGCACCTTTCACCTCTGTCTCATTCCCCAAATACCCCAAAGTTCAATCCCAGGTGAGACCCCCAATTTTTGTTTACATCGATTATTTGATATATGAGGTTTCTGAAGGTCTTAAATTATTTGCAGTGTAGAATTTGATGCCGGAGAGTAAATAAATGTTTTCCTTTTCTATTTTAAACACCTTAACTGTAGGTTTTTTATTTAGTAGTCAGTCTTGAGAAAAACTACTATGAACTGTTTACTGTCTACTATGAAACTAATAATTGATTTGTAACTACTATGAAACCCACATGTAATTTCTACATTCTTGGAATTTGGCAGACACTCTTATCCAGAGCGACTTAACAGTTTGATCAATTTACACAAATAGGCGAAGGTAGTGTTAGGAGTCTTGCCCAAGAACTCTTATGGTATAGTATAGGGTGCTTGCCTAGGCTGGGATTGATCCCCAGTCTACAGCGTAGAAGGCAGAGGTGTTACCCACTTGATTATACCAACCATAGGTGAATATAAGAGTGAAGAGTTAAAGTCGAGGTCCACATGTTGTTAAACAGTGGTTTAAAAGGCCTAATAGTGTTGATTTTTACATTGCGAATCAGATGACAGTGACCACCCACGTTTACAGTGTCAGTCACTCACTGAGTTAGTTGTTAGACAGAAAATTCCATGTGAGTCCTTGTTCATATAAATGTAAATATATCCGTGCAGCAGTTTTGATCACATGGACTGCTAACATAACATTTGAACAAATGACTGCGCAGCTGCTTTTATCTCTGCTGTGATAACGCAGCTGAATAAGGCATCAAGACCCTTTAGTGTTCATGCTACAAAGGTTATGTGTGTCTCTAACCACCTAGGATGGTGGTTTGAGTGAACAGATCATAACATGTCTCCAAGACCCATTGTGCCTCGTTTATATTTTTACTTAGTGCTGTCCGCTCAGAATTTGATCATCCAGGATGCATGTTAATACCCTATGGCCTAAGACTGCAGCTTATCACACAAACTGCGTGCCACCCCACCCACTAACTGCTCGCATGTGAGGCGCAGGGTTTAACAGAGGCAGTGAAATAATCCGCAAGCTCCTGACAAAACAGAAAATGAAAGCCCAGTAATGGAGAGTAACACTTTTAATAAATGAAAACATTCTAAAGAAATAATGTTCTGTATATTTTGTACAGTGCCTTCTTCCACACCTACATCTGGTCCCGAAAGTTTAAACAGTGTTTATCTGATATTAAACATTGTTTCAGCTTAGGTTCAAGGCTTGTGCCTCTGTCTAGCCGCTGTTCTAGTCATGGTTAAAGGAGATCTTTCAACAGTTTTTCTTGCCTGGTTTTGAAAGGCAGCGGAAAATTGATGCTAACTGGACCAAACTTTAGTAAATCGAGTCTAGAGCATATCGTTCTGCTACACTTTAGCTAAATGAGAGATATTTATTTTGTATTTCTCTCTGTTACAGGACCTCTTTTAGCCAGAGTCCTGTGCTACATTGTATCTGACATCAACAGTCACATCAACAGTCATGGGTGGCAATGAAGGAGGAGGACGTGGATCGGATCGATGGAGCCTTTTTGGGATGCGTCCCGTCGTGCAGAAATCCCCCACGGACCCGGGGTCTGACTCCAGCAATCCTGGTGAGAATTCTCACATACTTTCAGTTCCAACATTGGCAGCCATTAAATTATAATTATCAGTTTATTTTCTCTCTGTAAAAGTCGTCCTTCGAAACTATATAAAATTATATATGTCCAGTTTGTTTGCAGATTCTAGTATGATAGTCTTGTGGAACTTTGTTTCAGATATTAATCAGAGGCGGTAAAACTTTGTCCAGAATGATCAATCTGTAGATGATTCTGAAATAAGAACCTCTAATAAAATTGATAGCCAGAATTTCATCGCTTTCAAAAGTGATCAATTCTTGATGATGACAAATGATTCTAAAGAAATAATTACAGTGGGTTATTTAATGTTGTCTTGTTGTTCCCAAATACTTGAAACATTGAATTAAACGTCTAAAATTACCTTTTGGTGTTAAAAAAAAAGTTGTATTTAAAATAAATACAACATATTTAAAATAAAGAATTAACAATATGACAAGTGATTTCATGCAGGTAGTGAAGCATTAGTCAAGCTTCTTTTAGACTAAGACATACACGTGTAAGCAAAAGGTTGGACACCCGTGGTCTAATCATATGTTTTGTTGATTGCAAAAAAGTGAAAATAAATGCATGGAGCAAACATAAATAAGGCATTTTTCTGAAAATGGTGCTGAGTATCTGTTTATTTGTTTACCATATTTGGGGGGTAAATTCAGTAAATAAACAGTAATTGTGCCTTACAAAACGTGTTTACACCATGCAGTAGAATGTGTCGTGTGTGAATCATGTCTGGATGTACTTTGGCTAGTTTTCATTAACACTTTTAACTAAAATGCATTCACTAATAACAAAATGTGTCCTGTTTAAACTTGAAAGTAATCAAAAGCTGTATCTGACTATCTCCAAATGTGGTTTGATTGTAGTCTGCTCACAATGCGTCCCTGGGTGTGTTTACACGTGGTTATGCAGTCAGGTGAAATCTGAACATGATCCAGTCACCAAAAACACACGCTGAAGGTGTAAACAAAGTTTGTTAATGAGTTGAACCAGGTGTGCTCAATGAGACAAATCACAAAATGTTCGTAGTGTTGGGTCTCCAGGACTAAGATTAGGAACCCCGCTGTAGAGGATGTGTGCTTATTTTCACTTAGAGGATCAACAACACATGTAATTTGACAAGAGGGCACCTAAACGTTTGCATACAACTGTATATAGTGGAAGAAACCTCATTTTCAATATTGCATTAAAAAATATTTCTTTATAGTTGTGTATTTCAGTCATATTCAATTGGCTTCCTGTCTCTTGCTGCAAAACATAGACTGTCTTGTCTGTTACTCATTACTATACGCTTGTTCTCAGGGGGATTCAGTCTGCAGTCGTATTTCGGAGTTCAGAAGTCAACAACTCTGGATGGCATCAAGACCCAAGTAAACCTTGTGGTTGAAGATCCAGCCAACTTGAAGTCTGCCAAGGTGGATGTAGCAGCTGTGGAGGGGAAAAAACCAGCCCCCCACAAACTCAAACACCGAGATATGAACATTCTCACCCCATCAGGCTTCTGACGTCTACAGCCACCTTCTCCTGCCCTCAGGTCACCTGAAAATGTCCACATAATCCACACACTTGCTCTGAAACCCTATTTAGTTCTTTTTCCCCACCAAGCATGCGTAAGGGTCATATTAACAGCATTCAGAGAGGCACACAAAATTGACATCCATTTGCGTACAAGTATATTGTACACACACACCTGTGTATGCCCTGTTCATTGACCACTTTGTGGTGCCAAACATCACTGTTCAAATTAAAATGGATAGAAACATACTTGAGACAAATTTCACAACATTTAGCCCAGATGTAATTCTCAGTGCTTTATTTTTTGAAGTTGATTGTTGTGACTTTGAATTGAGTGGTTATAGTGACATTCCTTCCATAACAGAAGATGTTAAGATATAGACTATGGCTTTGGTAGGTAAAGCTGATTTTCAAACCTGTGGAAAAATAACAACTGCCACTTCTGAATGTGATGAAAATGTTATTGTGCCACTCAAGACAGACCACTTTGAGCAAGGTATTTCAATGGTGCACCAGAAACTTGATTCAACAGTAGGCTTCCAACGATACGAGGGATAGTTCTGTTTGAATAGTGATTCTATTCAAATCCAAACACTTGTTGCAGCTTTGATAATCTTAATTATCAGCAAGGTGAGACTTTTAAGGACATTATTGCTGATTATCGGCTTGTCTTGTGGATTGAAGTAATGAAGTCTTTCTGCCCTTGAACACTTGAAACTTGCTAAGGTTTCCCTCGTATTGTTTTTTGTGGCGATACTGCTGGAACAGGTTTTTTGCCATTTAAGTGCTAGTTTTGTGATGTGTGTAACGATAGCATTACTACATTCATTTACGTTTTGCTCTGTCCTAACAGGATCTTTTTTTCGGTTTAAGAATGCATGAGATTGAGGTGTTTGTGTCCCATAGTCCCCCAGTCCATAAGCAATATCATTGCACAGTATGTATCGACATGGTTAAAGCACTACATTGCTGTCACTACCTTTTGCACCATTTATGCCAACTCCATTTTTAGCCACTTGTACTTTTCATGCTCCCTACACAATTTTATAGACACTCCATTGATCACTGTTTGTTTGCAGTTGCAAATCTTTCATAATCCCTGTGTAACTCTTGCAGATAGTTTGATGATGCCCCATTAGACTTTTTTGTAGTGGTGAATTTTATCATTCATTATCCTTTGATATAATTTTAATACTAGTGATGTCACTTTTGCATTCCAGTTTGTACATTAACACATTTCATGTATTGTACTGTACATATTTTTTTTCTGCTGTGCAGCTGCTCAATTTGAGTATGATGCTTAAAATAAAGTTTTATTTGCAGTAAAAGCATCTCATTAATCCTGACTTATTTTCCTTTGATTCCGTTTTATATATTTGATCAAAATAATAGTGGATAAAACAGTGATTTATGATTTATATTGACTTGACAAAGCTCTTCTTCCTATTATTCTGCAGTCAAAAATGCAGTATGCTGTATACTGTATGCTCCATACTCCATCTATCAGCCCCGCTAGCCTCTCTTAGAGGCGGGCAAGGGGGTTGGTAACATCACAGTGCACACAAGGGTTAACCAACAGTTCACAGAGGTGGTCTAACTGAAGGTATGAAGGACAAACATTGCGGCCCTAGTAGTAGTCCAGTACGGTGGGTCTCTGTTTTCAGCCACCCTGGGAATATATGTAGTCTAGCACTGCATTAACATGACATTCACTGCTTAGCCGGATGTTAAGCGCCCGAGCTGAGATGATGTTAAATTCCACATTTTAACAGTGCAATTAAAAATTACATATAAAGTACAATAATATGTGGACGCATATTGTGACGTCGCCACACTGTGCTGAGTAGGTCAGTTTTTTTCAAACAGAAGAAATGTTTATGTTGGGCTGTTTCAGGTTCATTCGTGGAGGGACTTTTATGTTAAAGAGCCAGAGTACAAGTGGAGTGGTGGGTTTTCTGGAGTGAGCAGGGGACTGTGTTTTTTAGCTGTTAGTACTGGAGAGGCTGTGTTTATTCTTGCTGTGTTTGGCGCTGTTTTCAGCAAAAAAAAAAAAGGTGCTTCATGGACTGTAACCTCAAGTTTCTCCCAAGAACCCTAAACGTTAGGGTTAACCTGTATTTTGCAGGTTGCATTTGTCGATAGCCTGCATTTAGTAAAAAAAATCTGAATCCCGAATACCCACTCAATAATTGAATATTCCGGTCCAGCCCTATAACTCTTGCATATACACTTCCATAAACGTGCATCCTAGCAACCACCTGGAACATTATATTAGCTGCCTGCAACTGTCTGAGATATTATAGTAACCAACAAGCTCAGTGTTTAATGTTTAAATCCAAATAACAGAAGGATCATATTCAGCTTTACATTTTTCAGTTACAGTTTTCTCATAAACTTAGACAATTAAAAATGACTAAATCAGTACAATATAAACCAACAACTGCCTTTCAAGCATTATTAGCTGGCTTTGTTTCGCCAGCTTAAAGGTCACTCATCTTATTTGTATTAAAGTCTATTAAACACTGAGGCACGCATAATAAGAATAACTATGTATCCCAGATTATTTGCAAAATTATTAACTTTTTTGAAGTCTATGCTTTTAATAGTAAGGAATGGTTCACTTTAAAATGAAAAAAACAGCTTTTTTTTTGCTCTGGCTTGATGATTGATGGGAGGAGGAAGTGAAACATGATATTGGTTAAAATTTTTTTCCTCACCTGCTGGTGCAACATCTTTAAAAATTTAGATGACGTTTCAGAGGCATTCAAAATGTTTAAATAAGAAATTACAGAATGATGAATTTTGTCATTTAAATTACATCATGAATCTTAATCTGACTAGAGTGTGAACTAACAATGACTTTCAAGGCCAAAAACTAGAACTGTCTAAATCGTCTGGGTCACTGTGTCCCTCAGCTTTGTTTTAATCTAATTTACTGTGAAACAGATTTATTGTATATGAACGCAATTCCTGTAAGAAACCATCAGAAAATACCAGTGCACTGTTTACTTTTTACAAACTATACATTTATTTTATAAAACACATATCATAAGAAGGAGCATAACTGATGTCAAGCAGTAGCTGAGAGAGTTATTTCTTACTTCTCAAATAAATCTCAACGATAAATACAAATACAACATTCAGCAGCAACATTTCTCAAAGTAATACCATAAAAAAATTCCCAATGTTGATGAAAACTGAAGCGGAGAAAAAAAAAGCTTTACAGTAAAGTTTACAAGATTCTTTCCAGCCATTTTATATTGCTACTTCATATTGTGTTGTGACAATCATTTACATGTTTAATATCAATCAACATAGTTGTCTGCTAAATGAAAAGATATGGCTTTGTATACATTCTTTGTTAATTAGATGTAAAAATCAAAAGCAAGTATCACAAGTGTGTAAAAACTGTAATACAGATGTGCTCATATGTCAGTACGAATAACTTGGAGGTAACTTGGGCTGCTTCATGCTGCAAGACTTATACACACTTTCCTTTCTGGGAAGTCGAGCTCCGTAACTCGTGAACCTGAAGAAAGGGCTTGAAGGACTTCATACAGATTGAAAGATGCTCCTGTGACTAACTGTGATCAAGGGCCTTAAAACGTTTCATTTGCATCATTCACATTTGTACTTTCACCAAGTTTTCATTTTCAAAAGGCAGTTAGCACAGAGCATCAACTAAAAGAGCAGAAAACCAAATTTGAATGTGACATTTAAATTAAATGACAGTCATTGGATATAGCATACAAAATATCTCAATAAAAGAATGCTAACAGAATATAATACAATCTATTAGTGTACTTATCATAAAAAATACAGTAACACACTAATCTCCCTCAAATGTTCCATCATTTTATGAACCACTGTGTCCTGTGTAAATGTGTCACCAGGTATAAAAATATAGGAAAAAAGCTGTTGAAAATAGGCCTGTCACGATCTGACATTGACATTTTAGCTGACAATGAAATGCCATATAAATAGCTGCAATTAACAATTCAATTGTCTTCTTTTGCCCACTGTATGTAACTGTTAAAGCATAACACTGTTGTCGGAACAAAACCTTGTATCTCCAAAATGGTAACTTTCCAGGAGAAGGAAAAAACCTACTTTACTTTTAATGTAAGTCAATGGAACCAGACTTTTTCCAAGCGTTTTTGGGCCATTTCTTTTAGTCCAATCATCATGAAATGTACACACAATGTACAGAGCAACAGGCATTTTCAGATTATGTCGAAAACTGAAAAACGACAAAATGGAAGTACAAGGTTTTCCTCTGACAGCATCGATAAGCTTACAGTGGTCTGGCTGATTAGCTGTCTTGCATCCTAGCTGTCGATATTTAGTAGCTCCCAACTGGTGAGAGAAACAGCACAAGCTCAAATAAACATTCTCACCGGCACCCTCTAGAGTTGTTTTTAACAAATAGTACTCACCGCCGCCCTCTAGAGTTGTTTTTAACAAATAGTACTCACCGCCGCCCTCTAAAGGTGTTTTTAACAAATAGTACTCACCACTGTCCTCTAAAAGTTTATTAACAAACATCAAATAAAAACACATTTCTCACTGCTGCCCTCAAAGGTGTATTAACAGAGAACTTGTAGAGAGTAGAATTACCACTCTGCAATGTCTTTCTCAAACGCTAGAGGGAGCTCCTGAGCGAGTCCAAAATGAATTGGTTGATATGGAGCATTTGAGCAAAATCATAGTTTATAAATTCTTAAACATTTTTAAAGTAAAAGAATACGATCATTTCCTGAACACATAACAGCATAAAACATTTTAACACTACTGTTATATTTTTAAGAGCTTTTAAACTGGAGTTATAGGTGTTTAAAACGGCGCCTCATGATGCCTGTGAGCACGAACAGCCAATGAGCTGCTCCACTCGCCAACCAATCAGCACTCACTAGCAATAATGCTAACCAATCAGCACTCACTAGCAGTAATGCCTGCCTTCTGCTGCCCAAAACCCATTTGCTGTAGAAAAAAGGAAACATATAGGTATGTTTTCCTTGCTTTTTTAGTGAAATACACCCTTCTACGTTCTAAAATTAAAGAAACGTAAGTGATTAGAAACTATTTTAACTTTTCCTTTTTAGCCGTTGAGCGCCATTTACTCCCATTCATTGAGGACTCCCTTGCAGGCGCCCTCTGCTGTTTAGCAGTCCTATGTTTGATATAACAGGGGAAATAGGAAGTGGCCAGGCTCCTCATAAACCGGCTCTGGTATTAAAAAACATCAAATAAACAAATATTCCTTGCCGCTGCCCTCTAAAGGCGTTAACAAAAATCAAATAAACGTTACTCACTGCTGCCCTCTAAAGGTGTTATTAACAAACATCAAAGAAACAAATATTACTCACCGCTTCCCTCTAAAGGTGTTAACAAACATCAAAGAAACAAATATTACTCACCGCCGCCCTCTAAAAGCATCAATACCAAACAACAGATAAACGTTACTCACTACTGTCATCTAAACGTGTTATAACCAAACATCAAATAAACATTACTCACTGCCCTCTAAAGGTGTTGTAGCACCAGTCAGATGTTTTTGTTGTTTTTGTAAGACATATGACGTCTCTATAAATGCATGTTCTGCTTTCTTTCATTTACATGTACAGTCATCTGTAAAAGTTTGGGCACCCCGGTCAAGTTACATTTTATGTTGAAAATAATACACAGTAATAATATATAATACATTATAATATAACATAGTAAAACACATCCTCTACAGAGAAAACACTTCTGCACATTTTCATGCACAATTACTGTTTATTTGCTGAGTTTAACAAACAAAAAATGTATGTTTTATTTTTTCCAGCATGTTAAATTCAGTAACGCCCCAAGACTTGCAGAAAAAAATGCCATATTTAAGTTCTTTTCACACATAATTTTACTAAGGGGTGTTCAGACCTTTACATATGACTGTGTTTGGTTCAACACACCTGTTTCAGTTACAACATAAACACATGATTGTGGAAGTTTACAACTGTGGAAAATAATGGTGGTCAGCTAAAACAACGGCACTCAGCCCAAATAATTGTGATCTGGCGATGATGTAATAATTGTGACAGGCCTACTGAAGATTGTTGTAAATCATAGGGAGAGTAGAAAAAAAGCACAACAACAATAGTAGATCAAGAAATGAATGATACATCATCAGAAAACCTCAAAATCATTTAGCTCTTCAATATAAATTCCATGCCAGACATTCTTTTTGACACTGTTACAAACGGTCAGCTTGCGCTAATGAAGCCAATCTCAGGTTTGTCATCCTTTCTGTAGCCGTTGAACAGCTAGTGTCAAACATCCTCAGTGGAAAATGTGGACGATCATGAGAGCCTGGTATGTCCCCTGTTAGCCCTTCTGATGGAGGGCAGTTTGCCGGTCTTCAGTTTCCGTCGTGAAGACGTGACTGATTGAGTGTTTAACTCCTCCGTTCGCAGAGTCAAGGTTGGGAGAGGCGCTTTCGCTTGAGTTTCTGGAGCATCCCTTCCTCCTTTAAAAACAGACAAGGAGCTTTACCTCCTGATATCTGCGCAGCGGTCGAACGTGCTCATGCAGCATTCTTGAAGCAAGAAAGCAAACTGCAAGATTCCTCCGTTGGTCCATTCAGTTCAGGAAAATCTTTTGGATTACGTAACCCAAATTTGTCCCAGATACGTAAAAAATAAAACAAATGCAGCGTCCGTCATTTGGTCCGAAACTGATTTAGTAAAGAATACTGTAGGTAATTCTTTGGCTGAGGAAGGTCATTAAAGTCTTATCTTACATTAAAAAAGAACATCTTTCAAAAAATAGGAGGTCGTATCAAATCTGCAATATATACTATGTGAATATGTACAGACACGGTGCTTCGTGTTAGTCATCACTGCAAAAGAACAACACATTTGTTAGAGACAAGCATACAAAATTTCAAACAAGTGTAATAGTACTGTCATACTGTACTAAAGGGGAAGTCCACCAATTTTTTTTCAAAATGCTTAATTCAATGGTTGAGATGTAAACAAAGTAATTCAGAGTGGTTTGATGAGAAGTTGTATGTCGTCCACAACAGATATAGCCATTTTATTTGATGAGTGAACCTACACTCTGTTTTTATGTTATTTTTTACAACAAATTTTACAACTGGTTAAATTTAAGACTTTTAACTTTAGGTTAAAATCTAATTGCTTTAAATGACCCTTTACCTTAATTATGTTCAAGTTAAAATAAATGATTGAACTTTCCAAGACAGTAACGTAGTGACTATTTCGGTAATGACAATTTTAACTAATTTTAAGCAGAACTCAAAAAACACGAGCCAGTACACGACTGATTTTCAGACACATTTACTTCAAAACAATGGAATCTAACTGCTTACCATGTGGCCATGATGAACACAGATGCAGTCTCACTTCCTGCTCTAAAATGCAGGGGAGTGGCTAAAATAAGGCTCCACCTATGGACTAAAACTCTTTGTATTTCGTTAGTGATATGAAAACATGTGGCAGCATTGTTTCAATAAAGTTCTATGTTTAAATATTGAAATCAAGATGAATTTACCTAACTTTAGAAGAAATCAAAATTATATTTTAAAAAACAACAGCATGAAAACAAATGGAAATATTCTCACAAATGTAAATTTGAGGGACGATTTTGTCTATATTGAGGTTATTAATATTCCTATTAATGCGTTGGGTTTAAACTGATCATAAGATAATCCTTGTAACTATTCAAGGTCTTAATACTTCACTGTTTTTTTTACTGTGGGGCCACAGTTTGAGCTATTTAGGTGGAATGGTCCTGATATGTAATGTTATGATGGTACAATTGTGGTAAATATGAAGAAATATGTTTTCTTCTGAGACTATTTTGCCTTAATATGTACTCCATGTTTCTCTCCTCTCTGAATGTATTTAAAAGATTTTAGACCAAAATCCCAAATCAATTATCATGAAACAGTGTGTCCGGCATTAGGCAGGATATTTATATTATTAATATAAATATATATTAACTTTCTGCTAGGGAGCTTTTAGAGGCATTAACCACTTCAAACTTCTCTAAATGACTTTGTTTACATTTTTGTGATTTTAATTCAGAAGTTTAAGAATTTGGTGGAGTTTCACTTTCAGCTGATATTTCACATCATTTAAAGCACTCCATGCATTTTATGATCCATTCAGATACAATCTCTCATTATTAAAGTAAAAAACTAACATGCTCACAAAATGATTATAACATCAACAAACTGATTATAAATGCTTTATAAATGCTTACTCACCTTGTGCCAGCAGCCTGCTATAGGAAGCCCATCTGGACCCTGATAATGACAGATACGAGCATGATTAAAAGGGAGTCTGTCTCTCAAAAGTCTACAGCTAAAAGCACAGTAATGTCATGCTCTTCAACACAACACAAGCAAACAAACATAAATGACTGTAAAACCATATTAAACCGATAGGAAATTTACATATATATATATATATATATATATATATATATATATATATATATATATATATATATATATATATATAAAACTCATATCTATAATATAGGAAGCACTGGTTCACTGGTTCACAGGGAGTGTCAAAGGTTCTGCAAAATTCAACCATTAATACATAAACAAAGTCATTCAAAGTAGTCATGTGAAATGCTTATTTTGGAGAAACCTGCTCAGAATTGTTGAGGCAGAACTGGTCACAGTGATGTTGATGGGAACCAGACATCTGAAGAGTTTTAATGCCTCTTAGAAAGTTATTGCATGAAATGGTTAAATATGTTGCCAGGTACCTAAATATTGTTTTGTGATACTTCATTAATGACGTAAGGATAATGCAGGCTGTTATAAGACAAAACAGAATCCAAAGAAAACATATTTTTTCAGATTTACCATAATCAAAAACTCAGAAGACACATGTAGGTTCACTGGTCATTTTTGGTAGAGAATATAATGGTTATATAAGTGTTGTGGACATTGTGTTGTGAACCCTGGTTCCCTTCACCACCACTGTAAGAAAATCTGAGTCAGTAAGGCCGGATTCACACAGTGTTGCTTGAAACCTACATGACACTAAATTGCACTTAAGTTGCATACGATAAAACATCCAGCAACTGGCCAGACATGAAGTACAGCCGTAATGGCAATGTAAACATTAATTTTCAAAGCCCTAGCATTCACACATCAGCTTAAAACTCAAATATATAGTAAAGAATATTAGATAAATAGAAAATGACAGGTATGTAGATATAGAAAAAATGCTGCAAATATGTAAATAAATTTATAGCAATGCTATATATGCTATCACAAAACATATGAGGTGCTCATTTGGCTAACTAGTGGAGTAACTCAATGTGTTGTATGCAACTTTGTTTTTCAATTGCCTTGTGTAACTGTCAAGTTGCACGGAAATTGTGTTGCAGGCGTCTCACAACATGCAACTAGTTGCATGCAAGTTTCACTGCAATTAAGCATTTTACATGAAACCACTCCAAATGACTTTTCAATTAAATTTTGCAGAAATGTGAAAGAAAAATCTGTGGAATTTCTCTTTAACATAACATTGCAGGTCAGGTTGTCCCTAACTAAGCTAACTGTATGACCTAAACGCTGCAGCTGAAGAGTTGCAAAATGTATGTTTTTAAGATATACACACCTCTTCAATATAATTTTCATGATAGATATTCTGTTGACACTTTAATCACTAGTCAATTATTGAACAATCAACTGATGAAGTGTGTTAATATTGTAACTAAATTCTGTAGCTCTGCAAGACTGTATCTAATTACGCAACAGACATAGTGAAAATAATGATACCAAAGACAATTTTACCCTAGAACTTTACATCCTAGAACCATTTAGGAGACATATTTTTATGTTTACACTATAACTATCCATGTCCATGCATATATGTTACAGTTTCAAAAAAGCAAAAAGTTAGCAAAAGGTAAGAAAAGGAAAAGGAAAGAAGTACAGCAGCTCATGCTGGCATAGACAGCAGTCAAATCTACACATAACTAGAGATAAGGTACGAAACTAGAGCAGAATTAATCAGTTACTCCTATTACATTTGTCCTCATGGTCATTCCTAATAGATTGTATATCAGATTATGGGGATCACATTTACATGAGGAAACTCTACTGCCTAAATAAACTATTCATTTTGAACTGTGAAAGGCACAGTTAGCTTGGCATGCTGCATTATTTCTCGACATACTGGAAATATTAAGATAATAGTGGTGTTAGTAATATTGCGAGTATTTGAGCAATAAAACTCTATAGGCAATAGAACATCACGGCTGTGGTGTTATTCGCGGCAACATATGACCTTATAACACTTCTGCCAACATTTTATCAAATGTTCTTTAATATTAGCAAATATCAGGTTCAGCTCAGCTTTTTCTATATTTACTAGATTAACCTGAATGTTATTTTATTTCAGTCGGTCTGTAAAGCATTTCACAGCCCATCTTGTTTGCTGAATTCTGTTTGTTCTGTTCATTTTTGGCTAATTTGAATTTTGTTCAGTTCCACTGCTGACTAAAAAGCTCATTTTAGGGGCAATGACAGGTTCTGAATTTGATTTAGACCTGCTGACCAAATGGGCTGCAGGTCAGATATTATAAAAGTTATCTAATCTTTCCATTTTCTGTTTTTGTATGTATTTATAGCAAATTAGTAACGATTAGCTGCAATATAAAGTAAGTTGTTATTGATGCTCAGCACTATGATACCGTTATTGTGAGAAAAAACCATGCTGTTATTTATGATTCATGTTTCAACCAATCAGACTGAACTAACTGCAGTGCAGCTGTTGCTATATATTATGATATGCTTTGTGATATAATAAACCACACTGGTGAATCAGTAATGCATGGTCAAAAATTGGATTCCATTATTTTAACCAAAATCAATTAATGGAAACTTTGATTAATTAACACAAACAGGAACTATGATTGGTGAAGATGTTTAGGTCAATATTGCAAGAACAATTAAACAATATATTCTGCAGTCTAATTTGGAGTTGAATGGGACAACTAGAGCTCCATGCTGGGACAAGGGGTGCAGAGACAGAGCAGGCAGGAGTACAGTACCACTGGGCAGGGAGGCTCTGGCCGAGACTGCCCCCTTTCCCCCGACTGACCCTTACATCCAGCAGAACCCTGTCAGCAAGAGCACATACATACAGAATACCACTCTCTCACTACCAGCACTGCTAACCAAGCAAATCCTCACACACCCACACCCACACGGAATAAAGAGCAGAATTCAAAGGATAAAGAAGCAAAGAACAGCAAGAAGAAATGTAAAGAGGAGAAGTTACATAACAAAATATATATGCTTTTGAGGTTTTTGTCAGAGTTAAGCTTTCTGTGTTTGATACTGATAAAAGGATAAAGCTGTGTAACACCAAAGTGTCTGACCAGTCAAATCAAATTCTCAGTTTTCCCTCATTTCCCCAAATGTGGTTGATCATCCAAGGCATGTTTGGGTTCTAAAGCTCGCTTCTTTTGTTTTGCACTACAGCTACCAGCCTAATGTAGCTAACACATAATAGCCACCAATTCTACAAACTGAGCCTAAATGGGTGTTCAGATCACACTTATCAAAGCCTCTCCAGTTTCTTGTTGTTGACGAAGCAACATGCACTGACTGAAAAGCTCACCTCTAGCCTAGCACATTTTTAAACTGCACATTTAAGTTAAAAATCTTCGACTTTTCTGCTGACTGCCGAAAAAGTGCAGTACATCATCACAGCTGACTGGTCAATATGGAGGATGCCTCTTCTCTAGTCACCAATAAAGAAAAAATTATACATATCTTGTATAATTGACCACATTTGGAGATAAGGGGAAATGGTACATGTTTAATTTGATCAGTAAAACTGTCACTTTAAGATAAAAGTTCTCCACCACGCACCACAGGACAGGGCTGGTCTAACCCAGGCGGACCCTGCTCTCCTTTCTGCCCCTTCAGCCCTCTCTTCCCCACAGAGCCGCGGTCACCCTGCAACAAAACAACAAGAAAGATTGTATGTATGATGCATGTATAAGGCAAGGCAAGTTTGTTTATATAGCACCTTTCATACACTGCTGTCATTCAAAGTGCCTTACAAATGAGAAAATACAGAGTTGTTTAAAAAAGTAAAGAGAGTAGAAATTAAAAACATGATTAAAACAATAGATTTAAAAGAGCAAAATATTAAATTAAAAATCAAATTAGAAGTTCAATTAAAATGAAATAAAAAAAATTAAAAGTAAGATTAGGATTAAAAGAATACTGCAAAAAGGAGTCTAATTACACGGTTTGCAAACTAAGGCATAGTTCTAATCCAGTTTTTAATAATGCAATGAATATGTCCATTTAATATTCTGCCATTTCTGTCATTTTATATCATTGCTGTCAGGACAAAACTTTCCTTTTTTTATTTTTTGACATAATTCAAATCACCAGCTGCTCTTTACATTGTGTCAGAATTTCATGATGAACATAATTAACTTTAATTAAAAGTAAAGAATGTTTTTTTTTTTCCCTTCTTCTGTAAAGTTACTTTTTTGGTGATAGTTTGTAGGTTTTGTTCTGACAGTGATGAAACAGATCTTATTATTTATTTAGTGTCGTCAAATTGGTTTCAACTCCTGGCGACCGAATGGATAGTGTTTCTTCAGAATGTCCTGTCTTCTGTTTAGGTCTTTAGGCTTCTAAATGTCTAGTTCATAATATGATATCTCTGTGTCCATGCATCTTGTTGCTGGTCATCCTCTTCCTTTTTTACCTTCAGTTGTTCCAAGCATAAATGTCTTTTGCCAACAAATCAGTCCTTTTCATAATGCATCCAAAACAACTTTGGCTATCTGGGCTTTGAGTAAGAGGTGAGGCTTGATTTGGTTAAGAATCCTTTTGTTTTCTTTACCATCCATGAAACTCTTTACCAACACCAAGTTCAAAGGCCTCCTTGTCCTGCTTTTTTTATTGTCCAGTTTTCACATCCATAAAGAACCACAGTAAAGACCAGAGCGTGGACAGTTCTGATCTTTGTTTTTATTGACACATCATTACTATTGTTAATTCAGTTATCATGGTAATCAGTATATCAGCTCTGTGGCTCTGTACCTTTTCTCCTTTCTCTCCTGTGTCTCCTTTATCTCCTACCAGGCCAGGAAACCCCTGCAAGAAGGGGACACATTAGTCAGTGAGGCACAATAAGAGACTTTCAGAGTCACTAAGCTCAAGCCCATCGATTTCAGACACTTACATCTAATCCAGGCTCTCCCTGCTTTCCCTGAAAAGAAAACAGATTTCATTTTTAATCTGCAGTAGATTTAAATCAATTCAATCAAATCTAGTATTTTTGTCTTTGATTATTAATGACATTAGTTTCACACTTACTTTTTCACCTTTGGAGCCTGGAAGGCCAACCAATCCTGCTGGACCTGGAGGTCCTTGAGCGCCATGTGGACCCTATAAAAGATTAGTAATAGCTGTGATTCATCATTTTTAATACACAAAATTCTTGTTTTCTTTAACATTACATTTCCATATTTAGCTTTGGCTAATGTTTCGGCATGCATATATTAAAAAGAAAAGATTGTATTCTCACTTGGATTCCTGGAGCACCACTGTCACCCTTCTCTCCTTTGATACTCTCTCCTGGATCACCCTGCACGGACACGTTTAGATAAATGTGAATTAATGAATGAACACTTTACTAGTCTCAATAGATGGGGCTAATGAATCAGTGATAACTGTCACAGTTGGAATGAATAAGTGGGTGAACAAAACAACATTGTTTGGAAACATTACATAAAACATCACAATACTTACTTTTGGACCAGGCATGCCATGATGACCCTAAAAGACAGAAATATTGCTTATAATGTGGTCAGCTGACAAACAGGCTTCATTCCTTAAAATCTCATTTGACAGAACACATATTTCTTCACAGAGGAAGGATGGAGAGAAACACCTGTGGATGTTTTCAGATCTGAAGCAGCTTGATTTTCTCCTCTCTCTCAAAGATGAAAGCTTTAAGTGCTGTTTATCTGATGGGGTCAGGTTTGGTGACCTACCAGGTGTTGCAGGTGGTTGTTAGGAGTCTTATGTTTTCTGTCTATTTAAATTATTTTTGGAACTCCAGTTTTGGAAACTTTGACTTTCTCCCTCTTTGTGCAAATGGATTATCTTATACACTGATCAGGCATAAGATTAAGACTGGAGTTTTTAAACACCTCAGTGTCACTGCTGGACTGAGAATAGTCCACCAACCAAAATGATCCAGCCAACAGTGCCCTGTGGGCAGCGTCCTGTGACCACTGATGAAGGACTAGAGAATGACCAACACAAACTGTGCAGCAACAGATTAGATATCATCTCTGACTTTACATCTACAAGGTGGACTGACAAGGTAGGAGGGTCTAATAGAGTGGACAGTGAGTGGACACAGTGTTTAAAAACTCCAGCAGCACTCATACCAGCACAACACCCACTAACACACCACCGCCACATCAGTGTAACTGCAGTGCTGAGAATGATCCACCACCCAAATAGTACCTGCTCTGTGAGGGTCCATGGGGGTCCTGACCACTGAAGAACAGGGTAAAAGGGGGCTAACAACGTATGCAGAGAAACAGATGGACTACAGTCTGTAACTGTAGAACTACAAAGTGCACCTATATAGTAAGTGGAGCTCATAAAATGGGCAATGAGCGTAGAAACAAGGAGGTGGTCATAATGTTATGCCTGATCTGTGTATCTGCTCATGAATATCTCTTGAAATACTAATAACTTGGCAGTTTTGACTAGAAATTAAGTAAATGACGGCTGGACTTTTGCCCAGTACTGTATCTCTGCACACTATTGCTAATAATATACAATATATAATCATCCATACAGTGAATTATATTAAAATAAAAAGTAACTAAATTAAACATTGATTTCTTAGATATGGATCAAGCCTAGACCACAACTAAATGGGTGCTGTCTCAATAAAAATCTGAAAAAGTCTCATCTTAACTAATGTTTGAGAAACCAGCCCAATATCGCACAACTGACCATGAATCCAGGAGGTCCTCTGGGACCTGGAGGCCCTGGTGGTCCTGGTTGAGAAATCATTTGAACCTGGAGACAAACAAAATAAAGAATTGCAGAGAAGTTCAAACACTGCTCATCATGTAATGACATGCTTTGAACATGAGTACTTATTAATATAGAAAAATGTTCTTTCACTTTTTTACTGACCAGATTGTCTTCTAGCCGACTGTCTCCCTTCTCTCCTTTCTGCCCGTCCATTCCCTAAGACATAAACAGTGCTTTGATGAACATAAACAATATTGATGTAGAAATATCAGCATTGCTGTGCAGACCAGATGCTGGTTCTTAGTTGGAATACATACAGCTGGACCAGAAAGCCCCATTTCTCCTTTCTCTCCTCTCTCTCCAGGATCACCTGGGTCACCAATTTCTCCTTTCTGCCCCTAATCATAACCAACCAAAGACAATAAATGATAATCTATTTCTGTTTTTGTTATTTTCTCATAACATAACAAACATGAGCATTCTGTGTTCCTTTCTTTATGGCAGATGTGCCTCATACTTCTGTGTTCTTCTTCACGCACTTACAACACAAGTCCATTCTAAATGCATGGTGATTAAACTGATAGTTCAGGTTCTAAAATCAGAATGGCTCAGCTAGTGTAAAATTGTTAAAAAAAACACTGAGACAAATTACATGTGATGTTGTCTAAGTGAAACAAAGTTAACCTATGCTCTACAGAGAACACACTTAAATATGACACTTTCTGCTAATTTCAATGCATATTGCAAAATATAAAACACAAAATGTGCCATAACATTTTTTATTTTTCCTCTCAATATGGTAAATGCAGCAACTAAACAGTAATTGTGCATTTAATAAACTGTTTATTGCAATTACTATTAATAATAAATGAACTTATTTATTGAACATTTGTGTATTTTATAAAATTTCCATTTTATAACTTTTATAATATCGCAACTATTTCAACTTCATGAAGCAATAAACCACTTCCAACTCTGCTCTATGCCTAACAACATCCCTTAACCATGGTAAAATCACTCTGATACATTTTGCTTTCATTACCTGCTGATTTACAGTTTGTAAATGCATGGATTTCTAACTTGGGTTGCTCTTGTTCATGTTTAGATTGTATCATAACGTGGGCAGGTACAAGTTCTGTTTTAGATCATATCGACTTGGCTTATGAGTCTGAAAACCAATAACATTTTTACATGAAATCACCCAGTTTTCCCAAAAAATATCACCTTCTCGCCGTCAAGTCCAGCTGGTCCAGGAAGGCCCAACTCTCCCTATATTAACAAATGGATACAGACAACATTATACAGGGAAAGAACAACAGTTACTTCATCATTAGCAACACAGTACATTGAAAAATCACCCAAAAAATGCATTTAGCTTACCTTGGAACCATCCTTTCCAGGTGGTCCGGGTGGTCCAGGAGGACCAGCAGGCCCCTATATGGAAAAAATAAAATGTTCTTGGTTTTTCCATCTAGTTTTCATTTTTATTGTCTGTATCCCAGTGTTCAATTTAGGCCAGTGTATAAAAGCTTTAACAGTTAAGAATTCTGCGTGTTCCCACTCATTATCATTTGAGGATCATTACTGTACTGAACTTAACGTTCTTGCAAACAGCTAAATGGTTTCTGGATTTTATTACTCATTGATTGACAGGAATGTCAATAAAGCCAGTGTGGAACACTGACATGTGTTGTATAAACACAGATTTCTAACCACTTTCTAAAGTCAATAAAACACATAAAAAAGTCCAGACAAGATGTCTGTCTTTTATGACACTTTGAGCACAGTTCAAGTAACTGAAATCTAATAAAGTGACTGAAAGCCTAAATTAAATGAATTCTCAGCATGCACCAGCATGATATCCACTAATTTCATCTCATTTTAAAATTAATCGTAATAGATACTACAGTTTGCAGAATGGCCAAAGTCAAAACAGGTCAGTAACATGATTTTTGTAAAGGCCAAACATAAATCATTCTCATTCACTCAGTGCAAGGCTGCTGAGGGTGGGGTGTTGCAGCGCATGCAGCAGTACAAAAAAAAGCCAAGGAAAATATGGGGCAAGAAATCTACAGTGGATCTGCTCAAAGGAGCCACACAGTAAAGCCACACTTACAGCAAATCACCACATTTAAGAAATTTGTCTGCTGATTTATCTTCCAAACAGCACATCTCTAAAATGCAGCCGATGTAAAGTGATGCATGCAAACCCCCCTGTGTAAATCAATGTAGCCATTTATACTGGGTATGCACAGCAAGTTTAGTTTAACTACAAGTGATTTGTTGCCACGTGGCACTAGAGAAGCACTGGCAAAATAGTGGGTTTAGTGGGGCATGATAATAAGTTGATGGGGCATTGCCCTAATATTGACCCACTGATGGGCCTGATATACAGAAAAAGAAGGAAAACTGTTGAAGATTATAGGCTAAATATATTAAAATATACAGTAAATACATAATATTTCTTCTGCTACAAAACCTTTTTACATTTTCAGAATTTGGGAGAATATTACAACCAGGATTCATGGTCAGTTATGCGATATGAGGCTGGTTTCTCAAACTCTGATTATGCCTAGATGTAAGGAGATTTTAAATGGGAAAACACCCTTTTATTTGCAATCTAGGCTTGATCCATATCTGAGAAATCAATGGTTACGTTAGTTCCTTTTTATTTTAATGTAATTCACTGTATGGGAAATACATATTGTATATTATTGATATATATTGAATATTTTGAACAGTTTCAGAGAGGTAATTGTGTGATAATGGTAGCGTGCAGAGTGACATGCAATTTATTTATGTTACAGAGAAATGTAACATAAGAGTGTTGCCTAAGGACTCCTATTGTGTGGTATAAAGTGTGCTGGAGGGCATGAAGTTACCCACTACGCTGTTCCAACTGCAAGTAATTGTTAGCAGTTTGGTTTAATTCACACATACACACAAAAAGAGAGAGTGTTATAACTAGCACCCCATGCATTTATTACATTTACCGAGACACTGATGGTTTTGATTGCCTGTTGGGGAAAAGTGATGCATTTCAAAAGAAGGTTTAAATAGGTTTTGGAGAAATTTAGTGAGTTTGCACCTGCTGATATGGATTCTGATAAGAGTATTGTACTGCATTTTAATAGTTTCAATTACAGAAGCCTATTGATGGACAGATAATGATACACACTATGTTCAGCTTTTGTTTAAAATATTACTTGTTTCTCATTCTTTACGACCTCAAATGCTATTGCCAGTGGGCCAGTGGTTGCAGTGACCAGTGGCAATGTGTTAATGTGTTGTGAGCTTTTTTGTCATTTTTGTATCTGCACATTCATACTAGAGGACAATGTTTTAACATTTCAGTACTTTTTAAACAATAATAGTCTTTATTTTATTTGTTATTGCACCTTCATCTCTTACCTGAAAAGCATCTAGGAGTTTGTCATTGAAGGCGATTACATCACTGGAGCCTGTTGCACCTTTCTCCCCAGGAGGACCCTGTCATGATAGAATATAAGAGGGGGTCATTTAAAGTACATTACAGTATACTGATACATCAGAAAACATCTGAAGCTAAAAATTATTTCTAAAATTACATGGGAAACCATTAGATGTTTCAAAATGTCTTTATAATTCATTCGAAGAGATGTGAACAAAGTCAAAAGATGTGAAAAGGTTCATTCTGACTCAGATTAGTGGGTACTGTTGATGGGAACCAAGGGTCATGCTACCTCCAAGTGTAATAACTTAGTAATAACACACTTTATTGCGAAGTTTTTTATTGTTTTTGCATCTAAGAAATTGGATCCTTACTAAACGCTAAAGGATTTAAAGATCAGGCTCAGTGTATGATGCAGTAGTCATTGTGGTCAGTCTTGTATCTTAATCTTATTCTTATTTTAAGTCTAAATTAAGTGTAATCTGATTTTCACTTCACTCACCATCTCTCCCTGAGGCCCACTTTCCCCAATATCTCCTTTATCACCCTTAACAAACACAGAACCACAACCCAAGAAACATAATCAAACATCAAACATGCTAACCATATATCATAATCACAACACGTGGGTCTAAAATATGAAGACATGGGTATATCTCAGTTCAGGTTTACCTTCAGTCCAGGAAGGCCATCCATGCCTCTGTCACCCTTGAATCCTGGTTCACCCTGTTCTCCCTAGAAAACACAGAGCTGTTTCTCAAAACGTTTTGCAAGTAAGCCACCAAAAGAGGCTTGGATATAGCATTTTCAGCTAGTGAGGTTCAGCACCCGTGTCAAAACTTGTGCTTTCTGTGAGAGCATTTATCCATTTATCTGTATATGAATGAAGCTTGAAGAGACCTTGCATAAGCCTTAACTTTAACATCAAATAGCACTACATAAGTTTGGGGATTTGGAGCCCTCTTTGGTAGAAATATGTAACTGCAAGAAAGTTATGGAAGAAGCCTTAGGAGTCTAGCCCAAGAACCGTCTTCTGCTTATAAGATAATGGTCTTATCCACTGTGCTATTGCACTGTTTTGGGTACTTCAGTTTTAAGCTCATCAAGCTGGACCTTCTTTTAAGCCTAAGATTGTTAAAACATATAACAGAGTCTGAAAACCCCTGCCAAAAGCCAACCTGACATGTCTTACTTTTGAATTAATATTTTAGGCTTTACAGGGACTTTCAGAGGAAACAAATCCAATCTGTTTTAGCACATTGTTTTTCCCTGCTGCCTTAGTAATGTAACTTCTTTCATTTTTAATAAAATAAAATCTAATGCAGCTTTAAAGAAAAAGAGAATGTGATGATTGCAAGAGACAGAAATGGGAAAAATGCAAAAAGAGCAGCTGTGTCAGTCCAAGAGCAAGTCCACAAGGAAAAATAAGAACAGTGTTACAAGCAAAAGATGGAAGTAGTTAGATAAAGAACAAATGGAACAAATGATGAAAGGAATTTTGTCCAGGCTGTTAGAGCTGGATTCTTCATTAGGAGCAGGGATAGGTCATTACTTTGAAGTAGGATTCATCGGTTAACATCAGTGGAGAATAAAGATTTTTGAAATGAACGGCTAACCTTCAACCCTGGAGGTCCCTGGGGGCCTGGATAACCTGACTGACCGTCTTCACCCTGAGTGATAAGTGACCATGAGGAGTTTACGAGACACATTAAAATACAAAGACACACACATTGTTCATCTCACTAATTAAAATCAGGGCAACTTCAAACAAAAAGGCTTCATCTAATCATCAGGCCACTAATGAACACCATTAATGAGGCTCCATTATTAGCACTCAGACTTGTTTTTGAGGACAAACTAATTACAGATTTTCACAGTCTTCCAAACACCACCACTAATGGTAAAGGCCTTGACATGCTGTTCATATTTAATGTACTAAGGAAAAGCTTGTGCTGTTCCAGAGAGTGGCACTGAGAGAAAGATGCTCTTTAAAGGTACACGAATCAACCCTAACATTAAAACCACCTGCTTGTTTCTACACCCGTTGTCCATTTTATCAGCTCCACTGACCATATAGATGGACTTTGTAGTTCTATAATTACAGACTGTAGTCTATCTGTTTTTCTGCATACTTTGTATAACCCTGTTCTTAAATGGTCAGGACCACCACAGGACCACCACAGTGCAGGTATTATTTGGGTGGTGGATCATTCTCAGCACTACAGTGACTCTGATGTGGTGGTGTGGTAGTGTGTGTTGTGCTAGTGCGAGTAGATCGGACAGCAGCACTGCTGGAGATTTTAAATACCTCAGTGTCACTGCTGGACTGAGAATAGTCCACCAACCAAAAATATCCAGCCAACAGCGTCCTGTGGGCAGAGTTCTGTGACCACTGATGAAGGACCAGAGGATGACCAACACAAACTGTGCAGCAACAGATGAGCTATCGTCTCTGACTTTACATCTACACGGTGGACTGACAAGGTAGGAGTGTCACCACCACTTCAGTATCATTACAGTGCTGAGAATGATCCACCTGCTATACCTGCTCTGTGGTGGTCCTGTGGGGGTCGCTATTGAAGAACAGGGTAAAAGGGGGCTAACAAAGTATGCAGAGAAACAGATGGACTACAGTCTGTAACTGGCTGATGCTGATAAAATGGACATGGAGTGTAGAAACAAGGAGGTGGTTGTAATGTTGTGGCTGATCAATTTTAATGTGTTTCCATTATAAACTCACAATACAATAGAAGCCCATGAGCTTAGTTATTTTGTACAATATTAAGCTATAAATCTGAAATCTGTATATGTTCTCTGAGAAATGGGATTAGTTTTCCAGAGAAAAAAAATTGTGGTCATTTGCTCAGTGGTGTGAGTGGAGTTTTCACAGTTACTCCAGTGTTTAACAGTTGGATAAAACCTCGTAAGCTTACATAAGAGATTCTGGGTCAATTTATATGAGCACAGATCAGGCCCTGCATTACGGGGTCATTTAATGGGTCAACGCCCCACCACAGTCATCATGCCACACTATACCCGCTACTTCTATACATGCTTCTATAGACACAAGCATCAAAAAACAAAGGTGAAAGTAAACGTGCTAAAGGCTACTTCGCTTAACATGTATGCCTCACAGATACTCGCTGCATTTCAGGGATGTGCTGATAAATTGAGATAAAGCAGTAGCCAGATTTCAAAATAAGTAGGCCTTTAGTGATTCACTGTAAAGACAAAGGGTAATGGTTGTACTTTCAGCTGCCCAGTGGCTTCTGTTTTGGAGTCAAAAGGTTTTCTACTCTTTGCTACATAAACAAAAATGTTGAAATGATTGTCTGTGGGAATCAGTGGTATGCTGCGGATGCAGGCTGAAAAATGCTGGAGTATTTCTTTAAGAGGTCAAGCAGTTTAAAACACACAGAGACAAGACTTTCACATACAGCCTAAATCTAAGAGATTGCTTTCTAAGTACAGCAGGATTAGTGTGCGCCTTACCGGATCTCCTGGTAAGCCTCTGGGTCCCTGTGAGGGGAATAAGATGCAGTTAATGTTTTGACTCCTAGGTAGACATAAAGATATACAACAGAAGGTTTTAACACAGTGAAGCACTGTTTCTTGCTATAAGCAGTACAAGCAGTCAATTAGTGAATATGATATTTTTTACTGTTGGTGTCATCATATAGACATAACATCGCTGATGTTTCCAGAAAATCAAGAAAGCAGAAAAACAGCACACAACATATTGTTTCGTTTTATCTTTTAAAATAACACAATCCATTGTATTTATATGGAGATTTAGATATTTTAAATCATAAATATTCTGTAAATAAATATAGAAATATCCATGTAAATAGGTCATTATTGCTTTATGGAGTTTAACATAAAATTTATATCTCTTTTTTTTCTGAGGCATAGACCACCGAAATCCTAAATGTTCTGAAGTGGTCCTGCCACAGAGGTCATATCGGTGTAAAAACAAAAGAGCACAAACCTCCATTCCATCACGCCCAGGGGCACCCTAAAGGGAGAGAGAGAGAGACAGAGAAAGAGAAGAGGGAGAGAGAGATTAAACACTGCTGCATCATTCATTCACAGATGTAAACATTCATTTAGGTTTGATATGAAACAGAGCATTTTAGAAAAACTCACTGATTCAGATTTGTTTTTACAGTGATAGGAAACAGGAGTCGCAATAATACAGTCTTTTTATTTACTATCCAAAACCACCAGGGAACCTACACATGTCTTCTGAGTTTTATATGTAAAGTTGTTGATGGTAAAATAGTGATAATTACCAAACAAACACATTTTCTTTGGGAACTATTTTGCTTTACAATGTACTGCATGTACCATTTTACCATGAATTACAATGGATTACAATAAATGTTGGACCAAAATCTTCTCAAAACTGTCAGAAAATAGTGTCTCGTGCATCACAGTGTTTTCATAACCATTTCATATACTGTAATTTCTGTGAAGAAGCTTAGAGGAATTCAGATGTCTTTGGAAATCTGGTTCCTATCACCACCACTGTGAACAGTTCTGACTCAGTAAGTTTCTCTAGAACGGAGCATTTCACACCAAACCACTCTTAATGCCTTTCTTTACATCTTAGCCATTTAATTATGCACAATTTTTTGGAAAATCAGTGGAATTTCCCTTCAAAGACGAGATTGGTGAGATGAAAGATTTTAAGGTTTTTACATTAGAGATGTGTATATGTACACTCAGTTAATATATATGTTTACTTTTATATAGATGAGGATGTGGGTATAATCCTCATCCACAAGAGGTCAGTGCTTCACTTTGTGTCTTTTCTCTTGAGATCTCTCTTTAATCAAACACCCAAACAGCCCAGTTACGTAAACCTGCTGACATACAGTATTTTTATTTAATCTTTTATAGAACAGGCAGCACCAAAAAGAAAAGAAAAACCTTGGTAATGTGCTTTTTAATTTTTTTAAGAAATTTAAATTGGATAAAAAAAAATGCTATGGATGAACAGCATGTTTAAGCCTCTCATTTAAATCTGCTTCCAGAGGAATAAAATGCAAAAGTTTGAACACCCCCTGTCGAATCAAATTTCACATTTTCTATTGATTTTCAATTAGAAAATAAGTTAACCTCTCCTCTACAGGAGCTTTATTTGCTGAGTTTAACATTAACCCTTTAATGTCCTCACCAAGAACAAAGCAATGGACTTTCATATTTAATATTTTTTATTTGTTTGGGGCAATAATAAAAACAATTGGTGCTTTTTTTTAGTTTTTTTGACCCCACAATTTTAAAAATATTCATGTCTACCAAACGGTTGAGATGGCACTTTGTGGCATATATAGTTAAAAGGGTTTAAAAAAAAAAAACATAAAAAGTAAAAGTTGCCATAACTTTTGCACAGGCCATTTTATGCCTTATTTTTTCCCCAATATGTTAAATTCAGCAAATAAATAGTTATTGTGTATTAAAAAGGGCAGAAGTGTTTTCTCTGAAGAGGATGTTATTTATTATTTTCACTATCAATATCAACAAAACATGTCATTTACCAGGGCGGCCAAACTTTGGCATACTTTTGCACGCACATCCTGGCAACAGTAACATCATTTTATCAACTTCAACACGTAGAATCAGAGCTTTTTTGTGTGTTACTATCACTCTGTAAAAGATGCCGAGGCTTGATTTACTGTTGTATGCACTGTGCTGTTTTTCTGAGCAAGCGCATGAGCTCATCCAGAGCACAGTTCAGATCGGTAAATGCTTATTGTTGATGCTTATTAACTGCTTATTATGTGTGATTCATATTCATGTGTTCACACTGCCATTTTGCAACAACAATGCAACGATAGCATTAATTCATTTGTGTTATTAACAGCAAAGAATACATATTACTGCCCTTTTTGTGTCTGCATTAGAGGGTTAAGGGCCAGTAGCAGGCCAGGTGGGTCTTGTTGGTTTGGATTGAGGTGATATAAGGGGAGTGTAGTGTAGCGAAGGACAGGCGAAGGAGAGATGGAGTGAGTGATGAGTGCGAGTTCACATCTGGTATGTTATGTGCCATGCAAAGTCAAATTCCTCACCTGCAGGAGGCATTTTTCCACTGCATGTACACAGACCATCAAAAGTTTGGAAGCACTTTGCATTCTTTCGAAATCTTCCATGTAATGTTGAGTTTTCAGTGTATGCTTCATCGTCCTATTTAGGTTCATGTTTTTTTCATATGCTACTGAACCGAAAGCTCCACACCAGCATTCACAAGGTACACTGCTAACATTTGTGCACCAAAACTGTTATTATTCATTTAAACATCACCATTTTCCATCCTCCTTTTACTCCTTAGAATTAAGCAGGCTATTTTTGTTACTGTGGATTTGATTGGCTGCCCTGGAAAAAAAGCAGTTCAGATTGAAACACCCTTTACAACTTCAGTGTGAATAGGCAGGGCTAAACTACCTTAGACTGGAAGTTTAGACAAATATGTATGTAACATAGAGGGACACAAAGAGGCAGGATGCAAGTGCAAGTCCTTGGTTTTAACAAAAATCCATGACACTCTGAACAAAATACTGAAACATAAAAAAAAATGAGAGATAACCAGAACAGGGCCTGAGAGAACCAACCCACGAAGCAAACACAAAGCTCACAAGCAGCAGTATAAATAAACAAGGAACAGACTAGAAACACCTGGGACTAATGAGAGGGGAGGGCTACAGACAACAGACAGGCGAGACAGACAACAAGAAGGCAGGACCGGCGAGGAGACAAAGACCAAAACAACAAAAGCACGACTGTCAAAAACAAAAGCACATGAAACATGAAAACAAAGGCTGAAACAGAGAAAGACATGGGCAAGACAGGATGTTAGAATATATGTAAATGTGTATTTTTCATGGCATCACAAAAACAGTGAATTCAAAATGGGCTGTTTTTGCAGCTTAGTTTGCCTGTATGGACTCTACGGACTGGGGACTCAATGGTGTTTTGAAGCCTTTGAAAAACTCTGAAGGTTACTTGTAATATGGAATGAAAATCTTGTCTTGATCATGTACTATTTAATATATGAGTCCTAATTGTGGTAAGAAAATACGTACTTGTTATTAGATAAAACAGCTGTTTGATAGACTTTTGGGTAAATTTCACTTCAACACTCTACTTATATCTTCCTTGGTAAGAAGAGCAGATTTTGTGTAGTAAATAATGATTTGGTAGTTTTCTGAATTACTGTTAATCCTATATTGAATACTGTTAATACTGTTCATGTCTACACACTTAAAAATAATGGGTCCTCAGGGTTTTTTTAGTGGAGGAAATGGTTCTATATAGAACCATGAACACCCGAAGAGCCCTTTGCATAATTAAAGGGTTTCTTGCATTGTGAAATGGTTCTTCAGATTGATGGAGAATGTGCTGTAGATGGTTCTTTACAGAACCTTTTTGAAAAGCACCAAAAAGTGTATTTCTATTGTTTTAAACTTTATTATATAAGGTTATATAAGACTATATATAGCAAATTCTCCATCAATCTGAAAAACCATTTCACAACGCAAAGAACCTTTTAATCAAACAAAGAGTTCTTTGAGTATTCATGGTTATAGAACCCTTGAAGAACACATCATATATCAGAGTGTACTTAGTGAACTTAGTGTACTTGTACAGAGTGAAATGTATTAGCGTGTGGAATCTGAGCTTTCGGGTTCTACTGTCTTTACTATCAGTGTATAAAAGATGCACAGGGCTTCCTTTACTGTTGGATAAACTGTGATTTTTTTCTGAATGAGTGCGCGAGCTCATTGAGAGTTTGGCCTTTATTTAGAGTAATAATAAAACACTGCTGTAGGGTGAGTAGGTGGATATATGGTTCTCATGACATTACAGAAATGATAAATTCAAACAGGCTGTTTTTGCAGCTGATGACATGCATTTTCTAGTTCTGAAAGTTGGCTCATGAGACAAATGAATAAAAATAACTGAATTTTGGCTAGGCATCATATCTAAATCTATTAAATATATCCATATCCATTTGATATTTAATATCCATATCTATTAAAAATCAAATAAATGCAGTATCATCTTCGAGAAATAACATGACTAAAGTAGAAGAGGAGATTAAATGGCAGAAATCTTTTCTCAGCTTTAAAAGGTTAAACACCTAAAAGGTGATGCATGCCAGCACCACAAGAAGGGGACAAATTGTGTGGGATTTGGCTTTATTCCCAAGGTAGTACTGTCATGTCTTGTTTTTTTTTCCTCAAAATAAACCTGCTTAGGCTTTAATGTGGTAAGTTACAGCAAAATTACACAGAAAACATGTTCATTTGTATTATAAGCATTTAAAAAAAGTAGGTGTCCCCAAAGTTTTGATGGACGGTGTAGGTGCACTGCTCTGGCTCTGCTCTACACATGGCTTAGATGAATAAAAGCTAGAAGTAGGCGCCCAAACTCTGACTTACTATTCCTCTCTGACATATCCTAATACTCACTCATTTCAGATCTATTAGTTTTATGACACTTTGGACTCTGAGATGGTGTTCCACCACAAAAAAAAGGGAACAGGAACTCTGTGAACACCAAAAGAGACAGAATCTTCCAACATGGAATGTATGAAATGAATGAAAACAGGGGAAGCTCTCAGAAAAGCCTGGCAGAATCAATCTTCTATGCGCTTGACTTTGATGCCACGGGGCATCCATTATCTTGTCTTCACTTCAGCTGCCCACTTTGGTATAATGAGGAGGCTTTGGAAGCAGAACCATAGCAGGAGAGGCAGGGGGTATGATAACAAGGCAGGGCTTCTTCACGTCCTCTGAAACATCTGCGCTCAAGATGGAGAGATTGTATAGATTTGGGCTCCTCAAATTGTTTCTTTCTTTCAGCCATTTGCGCATCAGTTCTGGGAGCTAGAAGGCTGAACGGCTACCCACTGCTGGAGCAGTGAGAGGGGAGGCACAGTCGTCCATTTGTTTGTCAAAATTCTCATGTTTGTGCACTCTGAATAAAAGCTGTGATGGATTTTGTTCCATATCAAGTATGAACTAACTGGCTCACACACACCATCCATCAAGCATTTCTGAAATAGTTGGGAAACATAGGATCATTTTTAAAGAGACCTACTTAAAAGGGTCCATATCCTACATTTTTCTCGTTTTATTTTTTTCTCGAGATCCAGTCATAACATCTGAGTTATTTTATAAACCAAAACAGCCACAATTTGTTTTTACATAGCCTTTGTCTGAGTTTGCATGTTCTCCCCATGTCTGTGTGGATGTCCTCCGGGTACTCAGGTTTCCTCCCACAGTCCAAAGACATGCAGTCAGCCCAGCTAGACATGCTTAATTGTCTCTAGGTGTGAATGTGTGTGTGGATGTATATGTCTGTCTGCCTGCCCTGTGATGGGCTGGCGACCTGTCCAGGGTGTATCCTGCCTTCCACCCAATGACAGCTGGGATAGCTCCAGCACCCCCCAGCAACCCAGAAGGATAAGCGGGTTAGACCTCTTATTATCCCTTAGAATAGTTTTAGTTACTGTACGTTTAAGACCAATATAAGAGAAACGGTCTCTTTTCTGATTGGCTGCTCTGTATTGTGTCTTATTCAAAAAGCACTCAGAGCTGAAACACTCCTTATAACTTCAGTATGAATGGGCGGAGCTAAACTGCTGTAGGCTGAGTTCTCTTGATATCACAAAAACAATGAACTCAAAACAGGCTGTTGTTGCAGCTTAGTTCCCATATATGGATTGTTTGGACTGAGCGGTGTGGTACGTTTTAAACTTTAACAATGTTTGTGTACCACTTAAATTTCCTGTATTTAAAAAAAAGTGAGGGAGTTCGGTTTTCCATGACATGGTTTCTTTAAGGAAGAGCACTGCTACTGTAGTAATATTTAAGCTGTTTATTGAACAACTATTGAAGTAATTACCCTGAATTACTTTGTCAAAAGGGAAATCCATAGTTTTTAAAGATCTGTGCATAATTCAATAGTTGAGATGTAAACAAAGTAAATCCGAGTGGTTTGATGTGAAATGCTCCATTTTAGAGAAACTTACTGAGTCAGAATTGATCATAAAGTTGGCGACAGGAGCCAGATGTCTGAAAAATATAATGCCTCTAAAAGCTACATCAAAGACAATTACTGAAGTTTTTACAGTGGTGATGATATAAACCAGGAGTCGCAATGTCTACATCACAAATATAGTCATTTTATTTACTATCCAAAAACACCAGTGGACCTCTATGAGTCTTCTGATTTTTTATATCGCTGCTATCAGAAGAAAACCTCGTATCTCCAAAATGGTAACCTTACAGGAAAAGGAAAAACACCTGCTTTACTTTTAATGTAAGTCAATGGAACCAAACTTTTTTCAAGTAATTTTGGGTCATTTCTTTCAGTCCATTCATCATGAAATTTACACACAATGTAAAGGTCAAAAGGTAATGGCAAAAACTGAAAAACGTCAAAAATGGAGATGCAAGGTTTTCTTACGATAAAAGTGATATGTAATATTGATTAAGGTAAAATAGTGTTAAATCTGAAAAAATACATTTTCTTTGGGGACTATTTTGCCTCATAACACCTTGCATGTATCCATGAATAGAGTAAAAAATGTTTTATTCCAAAACTTTCTCAAAACCATCAGAAAAGAACAATGTTTCAGGCATCAGGCAGTGTGTTCGTAACTGTTTCATGGAATAACTTCCCATGAGGGAGTCTTTAGAGGCATTAAATGCAGTGGATGTCTGGTTCTAATCAACACCACTGTGAACAATGACTTGATCCTCTAGAATGGAACATTTCACATCAAACCACTCAATTGTTAACATCTTCACCATTTAATTATGCAGGAATTTTGAACAATCTATGAAATTCCCTTTAATATTTGCCTTATAGAGAGAAAATCTAATGCTGAAGACTTCACTTCATTCACTGGCCTATTAGTATTACATTAGCTCAGTAGCTATATTAGCAAGCTAACAGGCACTCACAACAGAATATAAAAGAGAAGTGGGGATTCTTTCTTAACTGTAATGGTTGTTATAAAATTGAAATACCAAACTGAACACTTATAAAAATAGATTTAATTATACTAAATAAAATACAGTTACAGTGAAAACTGTACTTAAGTACTGTAACAAGTAGTTATTTGTTATTTTCTTCCTTTTGCAAAACATGTATTATAACTACGAGATGTCAGTTGGTAGGCAATAACAGCTCAAGCTCCTTTGCCACTACATAGTGAAAATCCAATTATGGTTTATGCCTTCATGATATGTGTGAGCAAGTCTGTTTTTTTCTTTGCTCTCTGTCTTTGTAGATCACATACTTCGCCCAGAAATGCGTATCAACTGATGATATCTGTGAAGGCTGCCAATGTGTGACCGTTTCATGAGATTCAGATGTCAACCGTTCCTTTATTCTGCGAGCCAAAAGACCGCTGGTCCAATCGTAATGCCAGCTGCACATTACCATAGAAGCCTTTCCAGGCTGCCACAGTCACACAGCTCCTCATGTAACCTTAAAGTTCTGGAATGGGCTTCATTTAGGGGACCATGCAGGACAGCGCCTTGGGCCATCGCTGTGTGTTCAGAGCCATGGGAAAACTGCTGATCCTGAGACTTTTCCCGTCTGTCCCAGGACATGCAGTGGTTGTAGCGAAACACTGTGGCCAATCCTTACCAAAACCAGATGAGTCCTAATCCTCAGAGTCTACTATTTTTGTTTAGCTTTGTTTAAGCCACAGTGTATTTGGTATAGGCTGAGTTTTTGGAGGCCGAGATGTGGTCTGATGAACTGAGTTTGCCCTCTTTTTCTGATAAATCCTTTGGATCACTGCTGTTGAACTCTGAGATTATGGGGGTGTTAGTTGAGCTCTCCTGGTGTGTTTAACCTCTCATAACATTTATCAGCCACTCTGTGGAAGCCATGAGGTCATAAATGCAATCAATGTAAAATTAAAATTACGCTCTTAGGAAACTGTCCTCCTCTTCAGTGCCTATTACTTGTGGGGTGCCTCAGGGCTCTATCTTGGGCCCTATTTTGTTCTGTTTATGCATGCTTCCCCTGGGTCCATGGGTCCATCTTTCAGAAGTGCAAAATACCCCTTCACTGTTGCGTAGATGACGGTTACAGTCATATGAAAAAGTTTGGGCCACATTAAATGTTTCATAGTTTTTCTAAGTGAAAAATAAGTACACATCCTCCTCTACCTCTATTTCACCTCTCAATCTGTGCAATGTTATTAGCGGTTCCGTACTCTTGCATGAGGTTCAAAGGTGACCGGGACTTTTCTTTTGCTGTCCCAAGACTCTCCCATTTTTCATAAAAGCAATTTTAAAAACATATTTATTCTCCTATTTGATTAGTCAAGTCATTCAATTCATTAAATAACAGTATAGAGATTTACTAGTTAATAGAAATTAATAATATTTTACTTATACTGAAAAGTGCTACGTAAACAAGGATTTAAAATTATTATTATAGAAAGAATTTTTAGCCGAGATATTGCTGTAAATGGTCACTTTTCAGGTGCAGCAATTTTGTAAATTTTTATTTGGCCTCAACATCATCAGCTTCAAGATGTTTAGGGTTAATATTCTCAACTAACCCTGTAAATTGCCCAAAAACATATTTGTTGATAAACAAAACAAATAAATCCTAGCACATATAAATGACACAGAAAGTCTTACTGGCTCTCCAGGGGGTCCTCGGGGTCCATCCTTCCCAGTGTTCCCAGGAGGACCTCTCGGTCCTGAGGCCCCTGGGGGGCCAGGTGGGCCAGGTGGACCAGCCTGTCCTTGGTCACCCTGATGAAAATACAAGAATGAACATGTGGTTGACAGTCAAATAATTAGCTCTAGTAATATTTGGCATGTTTCTCTATTATTGATGGGTGATAATTTAACTCCAGGCTTTAACTCCTAAATCTGATATTAAGAATTATTCATAGGATGGACAACAACTGTGGGTCATTTCGTTGGACTTGCAATTTGGACACAAAAATGAAGTGGCAAGAAAAGGTACGACTTTTAAACACATCCTTAAATGAACTGAATAACTATGAATTCATTACATGCTATTGTTTAGTAACACTTTATTTGAAGGCTACCTACATAGGAACTTCATAGCACATGCATAAACATTGAATAACATATTGATTCAGCAGTACTGGAGTGTCTATGGTAGCTTTTGCCATTAATCATAAGATGGTATGAGATGTTTTATGGAGTAAATGACACCAAATTGACAGAGTTTCAAATGTTCCTCTGCCCTATGAGTTCCATACTATTACTGGGATAAGCTGTTCATAACCACTCAAGCATTGCTTTATAAATGTGGTATTCATGCTTATGCATGTATAATGAAGTCCCTATAAAGGTGGCCTTCAAAAGAAGTCTCACTGAGACTGCGCATTGGTTAAGTGTCTACTTAATATTTTAAGTCTTAAATAATTATTTCAGCATTTTTAGTAGTCGCTATATGCTGCATCTATATCATACAGTTGATTACCATGAACAATAAATTTAAAGCATTTTTCTGTATGAAAAAAGGGATTGTTAGAGTGTAGGGGTTGTACTTATATAGTCATGTATTTAAAGTGGTCATTCATGGAACTTGGGAAATGTATCTATCATAAATGAGTTTTGATTCAATAGATTTTCTGCTTTTTTTTTCTGAGTGCAGGATAACGCTACAAAACTATTGCTTGTGGTAATCCAGAGTACAATATAGATGCAGCAGCTAGACATTAGGCTGAAAAATGCATGATCATTCCTTCAACAGACAGCCCCACAAGCATCCAGTGTAGACACACATATCCAGCAGTATGCAAAAATTTGAGCACACATGGCCAAGTTACATATTTTGGTGATTTTAGTAAGTGATTTAAGTAAAAAAAAGTACACAAACTCAAACTTCTGCAGCAAAGTGTCCAGAAACACAATTTTCTCTGCAAGATGATGATGCACACTTACTTTAGATTTGATTAAGAGTATTTATAGCATGTGTCAGAGTTTGGATAACCTCCTAAATCAGTACTTATGGCACTCCCTTTGGCTGAACCAATCATAGCTTGCAAAAACTTTTTGTAGCCAGCTAGGAGTCTTTTTGTTCTTGTTTTATGACTGTTCTACCACTTTTTGGCTTGCAGAATGATTCTAGTCTTGCATGCACAGCTTGTTTAAGATCTACCCACAGATTATCAATGATGTTCAAGTCAGGGGAATGTGACAGCCATTCAAAAATCTCCAGATTGTATTTCTTGGTGAATTTTGAGGTATGTTTTGGTTGGAATTCTCCTGTCTAAGAAGCAGGCCTCTTTTCAGCTTTTCAGTTTCTCTTCTCATCAGTTTCTTGATTGGCACTTTTGTCACATTTGCTTCCAGAATTTGCTGTCATTTAGTGGAATTCATTTTTCTGGCTGCCACACAACTCCAAAGCATAACAGATCCACCCCATACTTAACACCTGGCGAGGTGTTCTTTTCATCAAATCCTGCTCCTTTTTCTCCAAACATACCTTCAGTGATTATGGCCAAGTTCCATATTTACTTCAGAAGTCTACAACACTTGTTTCCAAAATGCCTCCAAATGAATATCTAAATATGACAAATGCACAGTATCTAAATATTATCTAAATATAGTTTTATATGCTTCAGACATTGACGTTTGTGATGAGGTCACAGGTTAGGTTTTCTTCTGATGACTCTTCCATGCAGATCATGTTTGTGCAAGCAACACTGGACAGTAGAATGGTGCACCACCCCTCCTGTGTCAGCTATAACTTCCTGTATGTCCTTTGCTGTCATATGGGGGTTTTGCTTTGCCTTCTCGAACTTGCCTTGACTTCCTTGATGTTCCCCTTAACTGCAATTGCAAGATGGAAGCATGTTGATACCTTTTTATAGTGTTCATCTGCTTTGTAGGCTTTAGTTAGCTTCACTTTCATATCTTCAGCCAGCTGCTTAGAGAAGCCCATAGCTGTTGAGTGTTAGTCCAAGGTTTAAAGAGTCAGAGAATGTGTTGCCCTCTGGAACTGTCATCAGTTGACAGTTCCTAAAGATAAATATTGACTTACCTATCCAGCCCTGGTGCGTCAACTTTTGCACATGCTACAACTACAATTTTATTTATTTATTTATTTATCTATCTATCTATCTATCTATCTATCTATCTATCTATCTATCTTGCAATCAAATGTAAAATATAATTATGCATTAACCTTTGCTGAAAATGTTCTTTTGCACTTAAGAAAGCAACAAAATTTGTAATTTGGCCAGGGGTGCCAAAACTTTTGCATACGCCTGTAATCAAGGCACACATACAGTTTTAGTTAGTGTGGAAGAACGGCCAGTTCAGTGTTGTGAAGTAAAGAAACATGCCTTGCACTCATGCTACCTTCAGCATACGTCTCTGGAAGGTGGGCTGGTCAGCAGAGATGAAACCATGGTCATAGCGAGGAAAGACCATCTGAGTGGTCAGAAACAGAGAAAAGTGGACGGAAAGAAGAGGAAGATCAGAGCAAAAACTAAGATCTATGTTTTAGGGGACACTGTGAGGCTTTCACTTTTTCATCAGAGTGAAAGAGGTGAAAGAGAGAAAGGCAAGGTCATCTGTGGTCAGCAGGAAAGAGGTGGAAAATGGACGACAGCATCTGTAAGGCCAGAGGGTACAGAGGCAGTGGAGGGACAAACCTTGATGAGAATTTGATTACTGTGCAGGCCTGCGTGAGTGGCCTGACCCTAAAGCAGAGACATGATGGACACTCATCACAGAACAACACTTGCAAAGCACATCAGCCATACATTTCTATGACCATTAAGTCTCGAGGTATAACTCTCTGAATCTTACAATGATTTGATTTGATTAGGATTCTCTAGGAAACAATTCAATGCATCACAAAATGTAAAATTTCACCAAAATTTGATTACATTTTGATTCTTTTAGGGCCAACTTGATCCCTTATAATCTCAACTGTCACCATGATTCAATTTGATTATGATTTTTTATGAAGTAATTAAAGACTTTATACAGTTTCACCTGTCACCACAATGATACTGTATATCCAGTTTCAATTCTTCAGAAAATGATTCAATGCATCATAAAATGATTTGTCTGTAAGAAATTATTAAATGTATCACCATAATTACAACATGATCATTCTTTTAAAATGATTTAATACTGAGCTTTGAAATTTCACCAAAGTTCTGTTTGACTCATTTGGTATGGTTACTTTTCATTTAAATATATATATATATATATATCAACTTCATTCTAATCCTAATACTGTATATCCAGGCATTACGCTATGCAAATTATGAGCACACAGTGTATAATGGCCTAATAAAGTGCAGGTATGCAGGTTGTAACTGTTCCCATGATTTTAAAAGATATTTGTAAAATGAATTAAAAATACATTTATAACCCATAAAATAAGTGCTGTTTTCCAAATAAAGTGGATTTCCAGCCATAATATGACCAAATATTTCAAGGCTGTTAGTTTTTCCCTCCTGATTTTGCATCTACGCTGTCTGAAAATGACATATTCGTGTGTGTTTGTTGCTGTAAACCATAGTTACGCAGGGCAGACTAGGGCTGAATTGTCCTGCTGACAGTAATAGAGATGATAGTCTGGGGAAAAAGAGGGAAAATCAGAACGTCTGCCGCCAGAGATTTCAAACACCAGCCGTGCCAGCTACATTCAGATAGCAGGCTCTCTCTCCGGGAAAAGTGGTTAAGACAGAGAAAAACAGATGGAAAGTAAAATGGGTAAAAAAAATAAGGTGTACAGGGTGCATTAAGGGGATATGTTCAGGAAAGAGAGAGAGAGAGAGAGAGAGAGAGAAACTGACTGGTCATGAGGGATGTATTAGGGTGGGCTGTGGAATAGTTGAGGTTTCCCACACTGCAGCTTCACTCTGCTCTGTCACATTCATTCAGACACACACTGAGCTTCGCCCAACAGCCAGACCTCCTGCTTGTTTTAATACAATGTTAGAATGTGAGGTGATATGTACATATATAAGTACCTATATGTAATAATATTATGTGTGTGTGTGTGTGTGTGTGTGTGTGTGTGTGCGTGTGTGTGTGTGTGTGTGTGTGTGTGTGTCAGGAGGTGGGTGGTGTGTGCAGTACTGTTCAAAAGTCAGAGACCACCCTTCCTTTATTCAATTTCCATTCAAAACAGCCATAAAGTACACATTATTCATTTTTCAGTGTTTGGTGTGTCCACTCTCTATTACAGCTTCCATTCTTTTCAGGAAACTTGCTTTCAGTTTTTAAAAAAATATTTTTGAATTATTTTAATGTAATGTTTAAAGATTTAGATTATTAGTTTAATTACAAAAAACTTTATTCAAACTACCAAAAGTTTCAGTCCATACACTGTAAAACCCAACTGCACATCTTAGTGAAAGAATTATGTTAACATAACCTATATACTACAGTTGGAGTAACTTTATTGAAAAAAAAACTGAAATAAACTCAAAAATGATTTTTTTTTTTAAATAGTGACAATTTTGAGTAAGAACATTTTTTGAGCATATTTTAAGTTAAAGCAACTTTAGTCAAATGTATTATATTCACTATTGTTACTCAAGATTAAGCAAATCTAAACAGCCAATAAAGGGTTGCTTTTAAAGACTGTTCAAGATTTATTGTGGCTGGATTGTTTTTCCCTCTTCTATGTATGCAAATTGTAGATGACAGACTGTTTACTCCATGTACTAGTCCTAGTTTAGCCTGTTCAGAATAGCCTACATTACGTGATGGTTGCCAAGTGCATGAAATAGTTTTGATGCACATGAGGAGTACTGATAGATGACAGAGTATCAGGACATTTATTTGACAGACTGCATAGATGTTTAAATTGAAATGATTTGGAATTTACATGCTTTTCTTGTAACTTTTTTTTTGCAATGTCAGACATTCAAATGGGATCTTTGAGTTAAATCTAACTTATTGCTATTCAGACTTCTCATCTTTACTTAAGTAATGTTTACTTAATGTAACTCTCCTGAGTAACACTCACATCATTCCTATTGGCTCTTGCCACCATATTTTTGTATATTGGGAGTGTCTTTTTACCTTGTTTACTGTCTGTGTGTTGTCATTCTCTCAAGCCTACCTTCCCTTGGATCTCTACTTTTTCTTTTTAATTTTTATGACTTATCTGATCTCAGTCAGTACTGATAGAGCTGAGTTAACAAGTTCCCACCTGCTGAATGTAGTTCTGTGGTGGTCAAACACTACAGAGACTGCTGCTGCATTCTAGCTGTCAGCAGTTGGCTAGATGATCCAGAGCAGTATCAAGTTAAATTGGTAAAGACATTGTTATCAATGTCTATCATTATCAAGTATCTGCAATACAGTACATTTTACAGCAGGAAGTAAAACTGCATCCCTGTCCCTCATGGCCACATGATGAGCAGTTAGATCCCATTGTTTTGAAGTAAATGTGTCCCAAAGTCTGAAAATCAGTGGGGAACATTAAGAATTTTCACTACAAAAACACATTTTCTGCAAGTAAGCAAACTTATTTGTGTTTTAACAAAACATCTTCTGATTTTATGTGTGTACAGCTGTTCAAAGCTTTATTTGCTAGTCATATACTAGTTACTGTTTTCGAGTTCTGCTTACAATGATCTAAACTAGTCACTACTGAAACAGTCACTACTGAAACAGTAAAGTTTTGGTAGCATTATGATTGTTTTGGTATGGACAACATGGAATGTTCAATCATTTACATTAATAAAATAATCATAATTAAGATATAGGGTCTCTCAAAGCAAAATAATTTTAGTCTAACACCCAAGATAAAAGTCATGTTGTTGTGGGGTGCTTCTTCCCCAGGTTTCTCTGTTTATGTGATATGGAAAGATGCGAGATAGAGAGAGAGAGAGATAGATAGATAGAGAGAGAGACAGAGAGAGAGAGAGAGAGAGAGAGGGAGAGAGTTAAAAGAGATAGAGAGGGAGTGAGGAAGATCAGAAGTTAAACAGACAGTAATAAATGTCTGAAGTGCTGTCAAAATTCCTCTCCTGCCTGCCCTTGATCCCAGATTTGTAATGGATCATTACTCTTCACTCTACAGCCATATATAAGAGTATGTATGTGATTATAGGGTATAGATATAATATGTGTGCAGAAATCACATGAGACTCATTCCTTTAATATGAGAATGTGGGCATTTTGATGCCTGGATTGGATAAAAACATTAACAATGTACTGTCACATATGCAAACGGTAGAAAACCCCTGGTCATATTACATGTTTTGCAAAGATGTAAATGAAAAGTTACACAGCCTCTACAAAGAACACACTTAAATATGGCATTTCTCTGCCATTTTAGTGCACAGTTTATCACACTGCAACATAATGCAGTGCAATATAACACATTAGAAAAATTTAACAGATTGGAAAAAAATAAAACATACAATATAAAATGTGCTATAACTTTTGCACAGGCCACATTTTATGTTTTATTTTCATCAGTATGTTAAATTCAACTAATAAACAGTAACTGTGCATTGCAATGTGCAGACGTGTTCTCTGCAGAGGATGTGTAACTTATTTTCACAAAACACAGTTTGACCAGAGGTGCCCTCACTTTCACATACGACTGTATGATGTTATCAGCATTAGCAGTACAGGCTCATAAAATGATCAAGTCTGAAAATGACTGGAAAATACTCATACAAGTACAAACACAAGACCACTGCAACATTAAAAATGTAATAGATGCAACAAACAGATTATGGGTTATTAAATATAATATCTAATGAATAAAATAGCCATTATCTTCTGTAAAAAGTAAAAAGGACTGAGTTAAACTGATACATCTGTCCTAATCAATAATGAGAAATAAGGAGGAAAATAAAACTGAGAAAATAAGCTTATTAGACTGAAATCTTACCCTTGGCCCGGCTTCTCCCTGGTCACCCTTGGAAAAAACAGACACAAACAGAACAGAATGTTTATGAACATGGTCATAACATTGGGCAACAGTATCATGTTCCTGCTTATGCTGGTGCCGTGGTCAGATTTGTCTGTACCTGTGTTTGCATGTTCTTTTATGACAACCTAGCCTCAATCAAGCTTGTTTGTGATCAGCATGAGAATGACAAAGACATGGAGAGATAAAAGAAGACAAAAGTTTGTAAAATGATGATTAAGGCCGGCGTGCTGGCACGCTCCTGCTTCCCAATGAGTTTGACAAGGCCAAACTGATTAAGGAAAAAATGGTCAAACTCCAGTGGCTCCATATGGCTCTCTCTCGCCAGCGGTTCTGTAATCAACAGGAATATTCTGAGGCTGGTTTTGTTTACCACATTTTTTTTTTCGTGATGTGATCCGAGACACAGCAGGGTTTGTGTGTCCACACACGTGGAATAAACGTGGTGGTTGCCGTGAGACAGTTTGGAAGCACATCTGGTTGTTGTGAAGTGGAGAAGACTACAGGAGCGCGACGAGAGGGGATTACCCTTCTAGGTGTGGACCTGAGGTGACGTGTGGGCTAATGGATGGATTCTGTACGTGTGTGGGGTGTGGTGTGGTCACTTATGTGTAACAGTTGTTACCTTATCTCCCTTTGGTCCAGCCGGCCCCTGAGGACAGGAGAGAGGGGAGAACATATGAATTAGAGACCATTCTGTACAGCAACTCAGTTTGAATAGATAAAACTAACCGGCTAGTTGAGAGTACATGATTAACGGGTCACTTGCATAACAGTTTGTTGATGATTCAGTACAGTCACTCAATTCAGGTCAAAATAAACCAGACAGTTTAGATATTATTTCTCTATTGGAATAACATGTTATCATCATGTTACCATCATTATTGTCATCTTCTTTGACACTTTACTTGAACCATTCTACATAACATTAACATAACCATGTTATAAACATGTCATAGCAAATGTCATAAACTCATGATAGATTATGTTCAGTAATATAATTGTGCCATATTACCATTATGGGTAATTATCATGCCAGATGCCATAATGTTTAATGTCATAATAGCTTATGCCACATGCTAGTTTTTGCTAATTCATCATGATATCAAACATAATGACATGCTGTTGTGACATACTGTTAATGACAGCATGACACTGTTATTTTATTGGACATAATTTGTTGTGACAGCACATGACATCTGTCATGACATGTTTACAGCATACTTATGTCAGAGCCAGTTTATGGGGAGCCTGGCCACTTATTATTTCTATTATTCTATCAAAAAAAAGAGACTGCAAAGCACTGGGCACCCATGAGAACATTCCTTAATAAATGGAATGAATGGTTTCTAAACACTTGTCTGGGACATTTCTTTCATTTTGGAGAGGAAAGAGATGAATTCCGCTGAAAAATCAAACTTACTTTAACCTCGTTTTTCTACAGCAAACAGGTCTTGGGCAGTGGGACACTAGCAGTACTGGTACAAGCAAAGTGTTACTGAACTGTACCATCTTAAAGGTGCAGCGTGTAAGATTTAGGAGGATCTATTAACAGAAATGGAACATAGCACAGAAAACCATGTTTTCATTGATGTATAATCACCTGTAACTACGAATTCTTGCACTTTCTTTGGGATAGAATGAGCCCTTCATATCTACATAGGGAGCAGGTCCTCTTTCAATAGAGGCAGCCATGTTGTGCTGCCATGTTTCTACAGTAGCCCATAACGGACAAACCAAATGCTGACTCTAGAGAGTGCCTGTCGTGTTCTTATGTTGAAGTGGCAGCTCAAATTTTGTGGCATTAGAGAACCAGTTGGAAGATGTAAAAAGAAGAAGAATCAGTGGTTGCTGCCAGTGCTATTTTATGTTGTGAGACATTAGAGAATGCAAATTCTGACTATTTAGCACAGGAGAAATCACAGAGGGGGGTGAACCCTTGTTGTCAAAGAAGTGAAAACATGACGGCCACTGTAGGTCTTACTCCACACTTGGAAAAGGAATGGTGAGGGAGGGGTATTCAGTTGTTTGCAATCTGCAACTTCACCACTAGGTGCCACTAAATTTTACACACTGCAGCTTTAATCCCTTTATATGAAGGGTGAAAATCTTTTAACTATTCTTTTCTTCAAATGGTGCATACACAGCTCTCATTGTACGTCCTTCTTACACTGGTGGAACAAAAGTTTTCAGCATTAAAAAGGTGATACTTATCAACCCAATACATGAATGTATGTGCATGAGGATGGTACACACACACTGACATCCATTTTCAGATGGTGTTGTCACTTTAGCATTAGGCACCATCTCTACCACTAGGTGGCCTGTATGAAGGGGCTACTGTTTTGTGTTCTGCACTAATATCTGGTGGAACTCTCTGGAGGAACTATATACCATTCTGGATGTGAGGAGAGCAATAACAATAAATCTCAACTCAAGCAGACCTGATATGACATCATTTACTGGTCAATTGCATTCAGTTCAGTCCAGCTCAGTTCAATAAACAGCTCATAGATTAAACAGCTGCAATAGGGTTCAGAACACGTGAAGCTCCAGGTGAGCAGAAGGTGAGTTTCAGTCAGCCTCCTGCAGTGAGACAGCTGGGCTTTGAGGTGAACCCCAAATTCAGCCAATATCACACCTGGTTGAGATTCACGGCTGAACTCAATTGACTGTGATTTTTCCTTAGTGTGAACCAAAACATCTTGACATCTCTTTCGCACTGCGAACAACAGATTGATGATGTTTGGAGGAGATGCGTTTCAGAGCGTTCTCTTACTCTAAGTGGTTTACATTGCTATGGACAAATGGGTTTCTCTTGGCAGTGACAGCGAGGGAAACAAGAGGCCCTTAGAAGATGACCTATGGGGAAGAATGGGAGTTAAGAGTGATGAGTTCCTTTCTTTGCTGTGTAATCCATTATTTCCATCTCCTTTGTGGCTAGATGGATGGAGACTAGATCTTTGTGGTCTCAGTATCTTAGCTGATAAATGGCCGGAAAAGCCAGACATGTTGTTCTTGAATCCCGCATCTCCACCCAAGGATGTAACCACGCTTTCCCTTTTAAACAGCATGGGGTAACAGTTCCCAGATGGGCTACTGAAAATGTAAATGCACATATGATCTGACAAAAGTTGGAATGTTTCAGCTTTTTACAGGCGACAAGACACATCTCAAATTTGCAGTCAAGACTCAAACAGATGATGTCAGAAAGGTGTAAATTACCTGACTTCCTTTAGCCCCAGGAGGACCCTATGGTTAATGCAGGATGATATGGACATAGAAGAAGAAGAAGAAGAAGAACAGAAGAAAAGTCAAGATTAAAGTACATAACAATGTAATATGGTGCTCTTAAAATAAGGACATCAAAAGGGTTTGCCATAGAGGAATCGCCTTTGGTTTCCTAAAGAACCTTTGATTTGAGTGGTTTCAGTTAAGGACCACTACTTGAAAGGTCCTTAGAGAACGAAAAGTAGTTTCCTCTAAAGCATTGCTCCAAAGAACCCTTTATTTTATGAGTGTATCACCTGATTCCTTAATGAATGAGGAAGCTGTAGAACATTGAGAATGCCATTATTGTGCACTACTTTTTACAGTGTTTTTTTTCTTTTTTTTAGAGAAATGTGTAATAAAACTTTGGACCCTGGCCTTTAAAGAGGTTAATTACAAATTCTTATTTTCATTACCAGTGAAATTGTTTGTAACATCTCAGATTTTCATACATCATTGCAGGACTTTTTAATTTTTTTTTTTGTTTTGTTTTGTTTTTGTTTGTTTGTTTTTTGGTCAACATTTTCAGCAATTTCACTTTTTTGAAAAAAAAAAATTGAAAGTACTGTTTTTGGCAGAAAATTTATATGGGCCAATATTTTAAATGTGCACTACATTCAAATTTCATCACTCAACATTTTTTTTTTAACAGAAATGAAAAAGTCAAAAGCAAAGCTTAAAAACTCCTAAAAAAAAAGAACTGCAGTGGAATGTGGTACAATTACATTCCATGACAAAAGAAACTAGAGATGTACCTTTCAGAGTAGCACCCCATTTTTTCTGTACCCAAAAAAGTACAGTTTAGTACCTTTATTTAGTTTTTTGGTAAAAATTTCAACACAATATACAACCAGTGTTTTGGTCTTGCTACTGTAAGTGCCAGAAAAAGGTTAGTGCAAGACGATGTCACAGTAGATTCAGTTCAATTTTGCTGTCAATATATATTCAACCACAAGCCTTCTCAATGATCTCAGTGGTGCAACATCTAAACTGTGGTCACTTCTGGTCAGAACTCAAGTGTTTTAAATGTTATCTAAAATATGATCTGAATAGTCTCATATATCCTCAAACCTGGTATTTGAGAGTCAAATATTATTTCAGGCCTAGCTTAGGCCTACCTTCCAATAATTTACTGAGCAGTTATTGAAGCTCTGACCACCATATAGGTCTCATGGCACAGAACATTTGAAATTGAAACCTCTTGTACAGGCACTTTAACAGCAATGTCTACAAGCTCTCACTGCATCACACATGTGCACGTGTCATCCAGCTGTCAGTCAAAGCTGGAGGGGTGATACTCACGGGTTTACCGTCCAAGCCGAGAGGTCCCTGAGAGGAGAGAACAGAGAGAAATGAGTGATTAAACTGAAGGGCTTCCCTAGTGGGGCTGGGCAGTAAAGAACAAAGAACAGGGTGAATTCAGATCAGTTCTAGAAGGAGGTGTGGGAACAGTAAATCAGGAAGATGATGGGAGGTAAGGAAAGAACAGGATCACATTCTGAGCATAGTATGACATCACTCAGTTTGCACATAATAGCAGCGTGGAGCTGTAAGAGGGCCACCTACTAGCAAGAAGACTATTAGCATGTGTTTGACATAAAAAGGCCCAAGCGCTGATTCATTTCATATGGCAACCAGAATTGTTTAGACCCCCTTGACCCGTTTGTCAACAGCATGCATGTTCTCTGTAGAACAAAGAAAAGAATCTGTATAATCTTGAGAGACGCAAAGAACATCTACTCACGATCTTCTATGCTGAGCACAGTCGAAATATGAAAAAAGTGATGAAGAGAAACGTCCATTTCTGGACCAATAAACTGTGGCTACACACCGTGATTCAAAGAAAGTCTTTAAACTTAACTTCATTAGAATCAGACAAAAACATAAAAAGCCTCGGCCAAGTATGACAGCAGAGTGTCTGACGAAGCTTAATGGAAATGCCCTTCGACATGTGGCATATGTCTATGCACAATGTTTTTTTTCTGCACTCGTCAAAGTTCACCGGTCCCTGGAGATGTGATCTCTTGGATGTATGCTGGAGCCTTTGGCTACTGAAGCTGAAAAGAGAAAAGCAAAATGCCAGAACTGGACCATAAACCCCATTTTATGGTTCAAATATTTTGACCTGTCCCTCTGTTCTCATTAAGTGAAGGACAGTGGCGTCAGCTGCTACGTTTACATGCACACAATAGCCTAAGTAGTTAGTTAGTCTAAAATGAGCCTAAAAAAGATATTTGTAGTTGTATAAAAGACTAGTCCTTTCTTATTACATGCAAGCCAGCATATTCTAACTTCCACAAAGTTTTTTGGCAAAATTCAGTTGTTAAAATATAAATAAAGTCATTCAGAATGTTTTTTTTATATATAGTGGTGGTGATAGGAACCAGGCGTCGAAAACCACCAGTAAACCTATGCATGTCTTCTGAGTTTTTATATATTGTGTTAATATTTAATGTAATATTGGGGGCTGTTTTGCATGAACCTCTCCACAATAAATGACTTTTAAAAATACATTTTAGGCCAAAACCTTATATAAGATAGTGTAAAAAAATGTCTCAGTCATCAGGCAGCATGTTCATAACCATTAATGTAATAAATTTCTGTGAAGGAGCTTTTAGTGGCATTGACACCTTAAAATCCCAGGTTTATAACATACTACGTCTTATTACTCAGTAACTACAGGGACTTCAATGCAAACAGGCCAAGCTATTCTTAGATTAAAGAAATGTATAAAAAAAACTTGGGCCATTTAAGGGGTTAAATGCTTCAGATGTCTGGTTCCTATCACCACCACTGTGAATTATTATGGAGCATTTCGAATCAAACCAATCTGATTTTTTTTAATGCAGACATTTTGAAGAACTGATGGAGTTTGAAAATACTAGCATTGTTTTTTGACTGTTTGGGCCTATAGACCAGCCGTCTGTGCAGTTCAGGGAGATTTTTTGATGTAAGTGTCCCAAACTCAATCAAAAACTAGTGAGGCGTCACCCTAGTGCAATAAAAGGTTTTGGGAAATGTCTTTTAACCCATGCTGTTCCAGCAGCCTAGATCTAAATATCTCTGACAAAATGTTTAACATGAGGGACACCTCTTCCTCCCCCAGCAGCACAAGCCCTTTCAGCTTTTGTCACTTATGTTTGTTTCGGTGTGATAAAGCTGTCATCATGTGCGCAATTGCAGAAAGTGTCATTAAATTCTCAAAAATGGATCTAAGCTCGCTAAGCTTTAGTCAACTGAGACCTCAGTTACCACCCTGCAGTATAGTACATGATCTTAATTAGACTAGCAGCCTTAGACTAATACTAAACGATTAGCTGGCATGCAAAAGTGATTAGTAAAGAGAAATGAACTGAGCAAATTAGAATTATATAAGAATTCTCCAGAGAAAATCAGAAAAAAAGGAAAAAGGAATCCACACTTGGCTCCCAAGCAGACTTTTAAGCTACAGTACTCAGCAAATGTAAAACTTTTTCCCTTAATTGCACAAAAACTGCTGACACCCACTGATATGGTGTTCTTAGTGATAAAGATGCATGCAAAAGTTTGAACACTCCCTGTCAGAGTATATATTTTGTTGATTTTCTAAGTGTAAATAAGTAAACAATACACATCCTCTACAGAGACCACATTTTCTATTTATTTAATGTTCTATTTATGACTTGAAAATGAGCCATAGCTTTTATACAGCCCGTAATTTCTTTTTTTTTTTTCCAATACAAAAATGCAAATAAATGGTGCATTAAAATGTGCAGAAGTGTGTTCTTTGTTATTTATTTCCATGTATAAAATCAACAAAACATGTCATTTGGGGTGCCCAAACTTTTGCACATGACTGTATGACAGAGAAACAAGTGGCCTGGAAGTGGAAGTGTGGGTGAAACATTTTTCTTCATTTTTTGCAATGAGTCCATCTGGGAAGGGTTAAGTTGTATGATCTCCCTGGTGGCTAGTCATGATGAGCAGACATGGGGCACTGAGGTCACTCCAGTCATGCCCAAACAGAGACAAATGAATCTCAAGGTCAGAAATGTAGGCTGATTTATTGTGGCCTGAAAGCTGTGACCCGCAGAGTTAGGCTAAATGGTTATGTCTGCTACTTGATCACTAGGCTTAGGGTCCAGCTCCGGTGAGTCTTCAGGTCAGTGCTAATCCAAATGTTTGCTTGGAATGGAATAAACCATCAGTTCTTTAAAGAGATTAAATACGATTAGCCTCGCTCAGTTTCTAATTTGCGTTGCTAACTTGTGCTTATATTTGTTGTAACAATGAGGGATTTGTTTGGGCTATGCATGACAGAATATACTAATCAGCAAAACGAATCTGCTCATAGATGAGTTGATATTATATGAATCTATACTTAGAAAAAAAGAATCTGTTTAGATTTTAGGCATCCTTTTATCTCTCCTACAGCAAAAGATCCATCTGAACAAGTTCTTCTGAATACAAAGGTAACAATCAATATAAAAATACTTCAGATTAATGCAAGTTAACTGTTAGGAGTTTAAAATTTGTGTCATTTTGCCATATGTTTTATTATAACAATGTAATTACATAGGTAATTACACAGTTATTTATGTAATGAATTGCATTTTCATTCTGTATCCACAGGCTTGTGTTTTTTTTTCTTTCAATATCAAAAAATGACAAAAAATAAAGGTTTTTCTTTTCACAGAACAAGCCTACATGCAACAATAGCTTAATTAATTGAAAGTTCAGAATCTGCATTTTCCACTGAATTTTAATTTGCGAAATAATTCATATTTATCATCACTCGTTATTACCGACTTCCAAATATTAAAACCACAATTCGACATTTCAGATCAACAAACTGGTAATCCCAGCATGTAGTGCTAGAAAGTCAATAAAGTCCTGCTTTTCCTTGCCTTGTATAGTTTATTGTTTGTAAACACTGGGATGAAAACAACTCTACACATTCCTGATGTCCACAAAATAAAACCACTCCATGTTCGAGATCTGACCGGACGTTGGAACAGAAGAATTAAATCAACAAAAATGCAGCTCGAATTTTACTTGTGTGGCACCGAAGTTCAAAATAGGGAGGGAGAAAGAAAATAACACAAGAGCCTTAGAATAGCACGTTTACCACACATATTCCACAGAGAGCAAAGGATCTACAAAAGGAGGATTCAGATTACGACTAAAACCTCATGTGGCGAGTGAGAAATGGAATAATGGCTTTTTTGTCTGCTGCCCTTTGTCAGCATTAAACTACTTCTCCTCCATCATAAATTGCAAATTCATCCCAGGGAAGGCTGGGATGCTTTGAGACTGGGCCTATCCAAGCATTCCAGCTAAAATTGGGCTCCATGGTGGCCTCGGTACCACAGGATTGGAAAACGTGGACGTTCTCTCTGGTTGCACTCATATGGGACCTTGCCTTCAGCCTGGATCTCACTGTTTTTAATCTACCTGGCCAACTGAGAAGATACTTATAAAAGGACCTGGAACTTTAATGAGGCAATTATAGCATTTTTTGGCCATTGTAATTGAATAAGAATGTTCCCTAACAGAAAAGCCAACTATGCTGTAAAAAAAAATGGAACAGAGCAGAGGCTGATTTGACGAGTTCTCAAGATTTGGATTGCTTTCTAAACTGTCAGTTTGCTTTACTTCGTTTTAATCAAAGAATTCATTCCACTTGAAAATAATTAAGTTGTTTATTACCACATTAAGTGTGCTGAATGACTAGATATTTTTACATATTAGTTGATATTAAAGTACTCGAGATCTGGGGGCTCCTGAGTGGCATAATCACCCACAGGTTGGCCCTGTCATCGAGAGGTCCCAAGTTTGATCTGCACCCTCTCAGAAATAAAGGTGTGAAGCTGTCACTGGGGCAGTAACCCTCTTGTCGCTGGGGTGGAACACTCAAGGGTACATCTCAGTAGCTTTAGTCAGGGAACATAATTCTACCATAATCCATTGAAATTATATTTTGTAAGTTGTATTGACTCCACACACCCCGTCTTGTCTCCAGGCTTTTTATATTATTGTTCTGTTTTAAAACATTAGGTTATGAAAAGGTACAAATATGTACCTTTTTCACCTGGGAAAACTTATTTAAGGTGTACAATTGTACCTTAAAACCACTGTTGTACCTTTGAGGGAACATTGTACCTTGATGAATGAAAAATGTACCTGCACAGAACCTTTATTTCTGACAGTGCAGGGATGCAAGAGAACAATTGGCCTCACTTTTTCTGGGTAGGTGGGATGACCGTCCATCTCTCCTCATCACTATGCACATACTAGCAATACTAGCCAATGCAGGCATGTTAGCTGATGTAACAGAACTGGCACTTGGC